AAGGCTGGGGAGAACCTGTTTAGAAAGGCCTGTAGTGACAGGACGAGGGGAAATGGCTTCAAGCTGGAGGGGAACAGATTTAGATTGGAGATTAGAAGGGGGTTCTTCACTGTGAGGGTGGTGGAGCACTGGAACAGGTTGCCCAGGGAGGTGGTTGAGGCCCCTTCCCTGGAGATATTCAAGGAGAGGCTCGATGAGGCCCTGGGCAACCTGGTCTAGTTGGGGGTGTCCCTGCTGACTGCGGGGGGGTCGGACTAGATGACCCTTGGAGGTCCCTTCTGGCCTGGGAAATTCTATGATTCTATGAAATTTCATGAAAATCTGCCCCTCTCCTTCCTGCCCTCCTGGGGAAGCGCCTGGGAGCGCAGAGCTCCTAGGGGTCAGCCCCAATCTCTGCTTCCCACTGAATTAACCCAACCCAGCCGAAATCCCAGCAGTATGAGGGGCAGGGGAGCCGTGGGGGGATGTGGGCAGCATGGGAGATGCAGCGTGAAGCGCTCGGGAGCTGCTTTTGGTGGATACAAAAGGCGGGAGCGAGGCGCGGGATGATGAATTCCTGGCTGGAGCGGAGCAGCCGGGGTCGATCCTGCCCCTGCACCGGCCCTTCCAAGCTGCACTTGCTAAACACATGCAAGGCATGCAAGTCAACTGGTGATTTTTACCTTGCTTTCATACTGGGGCGAGAGAGAAGGACACCAAAAAAAAAAAAAAATTTACATTAATTGTAGCAAATGATACTTATTAGCAAGGTTCTGGTGTTTCACAGTGAAACGGATACACATCGTTTGCAAAGGACACATAATAGATGGTCAAATTCTATACACACCCTCAGGCTATAATAATTAACAGCTACCTTAAATTTATCATCTGTTGCTATACTTGGTTGTGAGTAAAAGAATTCATGTGAAAGAATTTGGCACAACTGACAGGAGCTGAGAAGGACACAGCAGTAGGTTCCTCCGTGCCCAGTGTCTGCAGCAGCTCAGCTCTGCCCTGATCCCCCTCTCACCATCTTTGGTCCTAATTTAATCTGTTGCTATACTTGGTCATGAGTAAAAGAATTCACGTGAAAGAATTTGGCAGAACTGACAGGAGCTGAGAAGGACACAGTGGTAGGTTCCTCCGTGCCCAGTGTTTGCTCAGCTCTGCCCTCATCCCCCTCTCACCATCTTTGGTCCTAATTTAGGAGAACAAATTAGAGAATAAGTCATAAGAGGAGAGGCTGAGGGAACTGGGCATGCTTAGTGTGGAGGAGACTGAGGGGAGACCTCATTGCCCTCTACAACTCCCTGAAAGGAGGGTGTAGAGAGGTGGGTGTTGGCCTCTTCTCCCAAGGGAATAATGACAGGAGCAGAGGAAATGGTCTGAAGTTGGGGCAGGAGAGGTTTAGATTAGATATTAGGAAGAATTACTTCACTGAGAGAGTGGTCAGGCACTGGAACAGCCTGCCCAGGGAGGTGGTGGAGTCACCATCCCTGGAGGGATTTAAGAAACATATAGACATGGCACTTGAGGGCATGCTCTAGTGCCTGAGATTGTTGGGTTGTGTCTGTCTGTGGGGTTTTTTTGGTGTGGTGTTTGTTTTGGTTGTGTGGTTGGACTGGATGATCTCAAAGATCCCTTCCAGCCATGAAGATTCTGTGATTCTGTAATCTCCTATAACATTCCTCTTGCCCCAGTGACTGAGGAATCAGCTGGAGGCAGAGTGGTTACCACGGGGCCCAGGAGCTGGGGTGCTCTGATTTTCTAAGTGACCAGGAGGGCTTTGCTGGAAGATAATCGCTACAAGACGTTCTGTTGAATCACTGGTGTGACTCCACAACTCCGTAATGTGGTGTTGTATTTCGTGAGGAAAACAGAGCTTAGATCTTATTATTGCTGGGTGATTTGCCATTGGAGGTCAGTTATGAACTGAATAAATGAACAAATACTTCCATTCTCTAAGTTGCAGAACAGCCTGTGGCCTGATGACAACAGTTCCTTGTGCACAAGGGCCCTTCAAGGCTGTCTTTATGCTGAGTTGTTAAAGCTGACATAGATTAATGGGCTCGTTTCTGTCCTGCTCATCCCTTCATTGTGGCACACAATTCTCTTTTTCTTGTCATCATGGAACTGCTGAATATTCACTTAAACCTTAAGTAAGTTTTCTGAGCTATTTAAAACCACGTAATACGGTCACTAAATTCAAGTATCTGTTACCACATTCCTTTAGTTTATTAAAGCTCAAGTTAAAGTTTATCAATAAGATTATATAATATTTTAAAAATAAATACCAGGAATTTTATTTGTGTATGAAATTCAGGATCAGGCTTCTGAAGGGAACAGGTTGCCATATTTCATGCTACGTGCGTTAAATATATCAAGAGTATTGTATCATATACTTTAATTCCTGAATACAGGAGGAATTTAATCTAAGGAGTCCAGGAAGTCCTATGTCTACAAATAATTTTAAATTATATCTAAACACAATATTTTTATATGTATTGAAAGTACACTGACCCTGACTGTGCAAAAACCTGGTACCCATTTAACAGTAATCCCACGAGGAGTAGTTTGTAGTTTGATTTTTCTACTCATGCACGAGGTAAACACTTGTGCTTAATTTTGTGGCAGTATGGAGCCATTTCTCTTAAGTGTGAAGTCACAAATCCTGTTCATCAAATAAAACAATATTGTAAAAGTCAGCTACGTGATGTTTTTTGCACAGCATCAGAAAGATGCTCTGCACTGTCACTGGTCTACTTTTGTCAGTTAGGTTGACGGTTGGACAAGATGATCTTTAAGGTCCCTTCCAACCTAGAAGATTCTGTCATTCTGTGATTCTGTGTTTCTGTTGTGTCTGTGTAAAGATGAGACACACTGAAATGCATGACACAACCAAAGAGAGTGTTATTCTGCTGTGGCAAGACAGGGTACAGCAGGAACCCACAATTTACTGACTGCAAGTGAACTTGAGGAATAAATACAGGTAATGAGATTACACTGCGTTTACGTCCCCTTGAAAAAAGAGAAAAAAATGGGTTTGAGCCACATTACCTTAGATTTCTCAGGGTTGGCAATCCCCCAAAATATATTTTCTCATGCCCTTTTAGGTTGAGGCCGAAGTGGCTGCCGGCAGAAGTGGTTGCCATGGTCTCCTCTTCATTGGTGTCGATGTCTACAATTGATATGTTGGCTGGAAGAGATTTGAGATGAGTTTCATTAGATCAGATGCGAACAACGATGTCTTAATGTAAGAAACCAAGAGAGAAGTATCTGGAGGGTTGGCAGGTGAGGGGAGAGGGGAGGGGGCTGTGTTTTGCAATGAAGACACTGGATTTCCAAATTGTCAATTAAGGGCAGGGGAACAGACCTACACTTTCCTCTGTTTCCATAACAACCTGAAAAGTCAGCAATTCTGTATGCTTTATTTTTATATATTCTCTAAACCTGCTTCGATTTGGTACGTTCCTTGTATCAATGTAATTTGGAGCTAATGCTTCAGGACAAAGTCAAGACCAAAGAGATCATTTTACATTTAATTTGTGATTTCAGTCCAAAGGTTGTCATTCAAGTGGGATTTTTCAGTGCACAAGTTTGTTAAGCCTTGTCATTACGTGCCTTAGAGACTGGTGATCACTCACTCTAAACCATTTTCAGGCCCAAAGAAGTCAACTGCTGTCATGTCTAGTCTCAATCTGGAGTCACTGACGTGCTACATGCAACTATCCTATTTAAATGCCTGTTCTATGTATATTTTTTAATGTATGGATTAATACTTAATGAATTAATTAATTAATACTTAATATACAGTTCAATGAGAGAGACAAGAGGCAGTGAAAAATGCTGAGCAGTCCCCAAGGAAGAGATATTCTACCATAGAGATGCAAAGAAAGTGTTCGTTCTTTCTTTCCTTTCTTTCTTCCTTCCACCCATCCATCTTTCCTTTATTTTTTTATTTTCTTCACACAGTTAAAGGCAAGACCTTACTTATAGCCTACACTTTCATCTACCAACGGAATGACATGAACCTTTATTTTAACTAAAAAAAGTGACCAGCCTGATTTCTGGTTCCCAGTTGTTTCCATGTGGATTCAGATCGTGGCACGCTGGGTATCATTAGGGAATATAAAACAGCTGTTGTGTTTGTCTACTGAGATATTGTTACTATCAATACTGGAGTCACTGCTTTTTGAAAAGCTTTGGGAAATGCTGAGCAGGAGAAGAGTGTAGAGCATGAAAGCTATCACTGTCCTAATAAAAATCACACAGTTTTTTTTAATGATTTTGAACATCAGGAAACGGATGAAAAAGCTTCTTTTTTCCCCACTCGGAAGGAATTCAAAATGTAATTCACACAACTGTAAATCAGAATTAAGCCTGAAAATTAAGCTACCTGTTCATAAAAGGCCTGTTTGACAGTGCAATCACTGACATGCAACTCCACACATCTGTAATCTAAGCAGAAGTTGTTGCTAAATCACTAGAACTTTGTAATTCCAGCAATTGTGCACATCTTCGTTGCCATAATTAGCTGGTTAGCTGCACCACACAGGGAACTGGGAAAGCCCTGGGGCTGACACCGCAGGGACTCACCTTGTTTTTGAATTCTTGACAGGGTGAAAGATTTCCATTTGCCATCGTTATGATTCTGGGTGCTGGTAACAGAAGCCGTACCCGAACCCAGGTCGTAGCTGACTTTTATACGCCCACCACTGAGTTCTACGCTCATGAAATCCTTCTGTTAATGACAAGGAATAGATACACAAATTATGATTCTTGTTCATTTTGGTAAGAGGCATATGATATTAAATAAACAGTTTCTTTTCCACAATAGACAACTATTTTGAAGCTTTTTTAAAAATCTACTTAGCCATTTACTGCCCAGGACTGTAATGTACAAAAGTCTGCTGCCAACAAGTTCTTTTTTTTCCCTTTTCTTCTCCCTTGGATTGCTAAATTACTTGGAATTTTGCTGACAACAGAGCTGGAGTTTTGATGGGACGTCTGCACTTTTATTTTCTTAGATTGGAGAAAGAAATACATGTTATAATTACCTGAAACTAATGCTTTGGTTTTATGTCTATACTACAGGTAGATTTAAGCTTGCAAGGTAGAAAACAAGAGCAGTAAAGATGGTAAAATGGGCTTGTTTTACCAGGGTTTCCAGAGAGTCTTCTATCCTGATGGAGCAACAGAGAGGTGTGGACTGTCATTTCATCAACCAGAATGAAAATACTATACCATGTGCCAAATACTTATGCAAAACTGTGATAATCATATTACGTGTATGACCATAGCTTTATGTTAAGACAAAAAGAGTAAAATTTAATAAACTCAGTATTCTAGATTCATGTGCATGTCTATCCATTCACCAGTAGGAAGAGAATTCTCAAAGTTTTTATACAGCGGGACAGTATCTTTAAGGGCCAAATTATATCAGGGACTAGTTGCTTTCCAGCTTCCAGTGTTTTTCAGAAGTTCATAAATTAATAACAGTACATAAATTAATAATAATTATACAAAATAATTATACAAAAATAATCTAAAATAATTACATTAATTATACTTTTTATAGTCAATCGTAAAAATTAATTAGAAAAACTAAGTACTTCATTATCATAATAAAATGTTATCTGTAACTATAGTCAGTGAGAAGGAGCACCCTCCTCCTTGATAATTCCAGCAATTCTGATAATTTTTCCCAAAATACAGGAATCTGAAATAGGACTGATGTACACAAACACAGTTTTTGTAAAATAGTGAGTGCTCAGTAACTCTTCAAGACATCAGTGAGAACTGCTGTACATCATTTCTGGCCCGTGTGAAGAGGCCAAGGAGAGGACTCTGTTCCCTGCCAAGGATGCAAATCAGTCTGGATCAGAGATGCAGGAGCTGAGTTATTCCTGATTCATGTCAGGATCTGGCCAGATGTCTTTATAAATAACTCCCTGTTATCCACACACATTTGATAGTATGTGCGAATAAAAACCTTGAACAGCTTCATAACTAATGTTTCTAACTCTCTATTTTAGCTGTAAAAGGCACCATTTGCAGATGTAAAAACATCACCTTCACATCCTGTTTGTTGCACCATTCAGTTCCCCTTTAATGCCAATCACATTGAACATCAACTTTTTCTTTATTGAGTAGGACTTCCATCTAAGACCTTTCTCTTCCCATGTTTTCTCTGCCCTTACTCTAGGATATTTTAAGCTATGAATGTGCAACCACAACTGACGATGTTTGCACAGGTAAACATTTGGGATAAATTAAAATTAATTAATAATTTCAGAAAAGCTGGAATTCCCATCAGTCTGATATAGTGCTCCCCAGTTGGTAAACACACTACAACATTGTCTTCATTTGGACAGCAGTGAAGCATCAGACCAGGCAACATCATAACAGGATAGTGCTACATCACATTACTGTTTGTTTTCATAATATAACAGATTCAGCCACTGCAAAGATGTCATGAAACCCATAAGGTGAGCTGATTGCTCTTACCAGGTCATCAGTAGCAAGATACATCAGCAGGGCGTTGGATGAGAAGGTCCTGAATTTGAACATGACTGTGGAGATGTTGGGGTTCCAGCGGATGGGGCGGCTCACCATGGCGTAGCTTTCACCATCAAACTGGACTGTCCCTTCACCATCTGCCACCTGTGGACTGAAAAGGGACAATTCCAACCATTTTCCTTTGCCGTGTGAGGTTAAGATAAAAAAAAAAAGGGGGGGAGCTAGCAGAGTGAGGGGACACCTCCTGGGAGTCCTCCTGAACTTGGATTGACTTCATATCAAACACCCATTCTGACCAGTGATGCTGTGAGGTGAGTTCACCAGCCGCCCAACACAGAAGTACATCTGGGAGGAAGATGGAAGGGGAATATGTCTTGTGTATCTCTTTGTAATGACTCATTTGGCCACCCTCAATGCAAAATAGCATTACGTACTCTTACATCTTGTAATAAATCTTGGTTTTGCTATTGTCAGTGATTGTACAACTTCTGGAGGGTCCCAGGCTGAAAACCCTGGAAAATGTGACTCTCTGTTTCTTTCATATCAAACACCCATTCTGACAAGTGATGCTGTGAAGTGAGTTCACCAGCCACCCAACACAGATGTACATCTGGGAGGAAGATGGAAGGGGAATATGTCTTGTGTATCTCTTTGTAATGACTCATTTGGCCACCCTCAATGCAAAATAGCATTACGTACTCTTACATCTTGTAATAAATCTTGGTTTTGCTATTGTCAGTGATTGTACAACTTCTGGAGGGTCCCAGGCTGAAAACCCTGGAAAATGTGACTCTCTGTTTACCCACAAATTGCAAACATCACAAGAACAGAGGCATCAGTCCCCACTCCAGCTCTTGGCATTCCTGTCGTTACAAGGCAGAAAAGCTCAGGCCTGGAGCTTGTTTGATATGATTTTTACAACAGACTCTTTGTCCATTTCTGTCACACAGATCAGATACCTGCACGACAGCAATCTTTTGGTTTAATCACAAACATAATTGAATTTGATCATGGAACCTACATGTGAAATATTGCCCAGGGACACATTCCTCATTTATCTTGGCACACACAGAAGGATCTTGACTTGTAGGTGCCTCACCTTCCGTAGCTACATTTAACAGTTCAGTTTTTGCAATTAGATTTTGCAGAATACACTCCTTCTGGTAGTTGAACCATGGGAAAAAGGAAGCTTTTAATACAGTTTTCTACAAATCTCAAATCTAGTATTCTTTTCTTTGTTCCCGCTGTACCCACCCCCACACCAAGCAAGCACTTAGAGAATCTATCCCTAATGAATAAGAAAATTAAATTTAGGTGGAGATGCACATAAAGGCTTAGGCATCTCATTAGGACTTGCGTGGAACTGAAAGGCATGTATCCATCATCATACTCCTTACATTTTTACCAAAGTGTCAAGAGCCTACAGTTGTAGTCAAGGAAATCCTCCAGTATTCCCAAAATTGCTTTGGTTCACAATTTCCATCACTTTCAAAGGGGTAAGCTTTAGTGGGTTGTTAGACCAGGCTCCTGGTTTGAAAACTTGCCTTCTCTTAACTTCCCTGATGGGATCTACAGTTATTTTACCTCATGCAGCATGAGCTCTATACCATACACTGCTACTGCCAAATTCACTGAAGCCCAGGAGCACCTAGAGAACCATTCTGCTTTCATGCAGTGGGTCACCATAAAAGCCATAAATAACAATGTGAGTGACCCAGAATCTGTCTTTTTTACATAATTCCCAGGACTGTGCTGTAGTATCAGGTGGTCCCTCAGGTTTTGGAGCTGAGACATGGCACAGGAAAGCATTTGAGGTTAGTGTGGTGGGAAAGAGGAATGAAGATCACAGCTCTTAAAGGCCAAGGACACATCTGGAAAGGAAGTAACTTATGTTTTTTAAAAATTCCTGGAGAGTTCAGAGTCTACATATGTGAATCCCAGTCTTGCCTGGATGGACCACTGACCCTACCTGGAACCACAGGTCACTGATTGGGACAGGATTCCCCATTCTCTTTTGGAGAGGTCTCTGCTCACTACACTGGTGGCCATGAAAGTCACCTTGAGGCACCTGACTCTGTCCTGTGCTGCATAAGAGGAGTAGGCACCCAGGAGCCAGACTTTGTCCCACTGTGGATCTAGTGTTAGGTGTCCCTGCCCGTGGCAGTGGGTTAGGACTCAATGATCTTTAAGGTCCTTTCCAACTCTAACCATTCTATGATTCTATGTTTTGACTTATCCTGGCTACTGTGAGCAGGAGTCTTGCCATCACAGGAAAATTAAGCTAATTAAAAATTAAGTGACTGACCACATTTCTGACCCAGATTGGGTGCTTCCCCTCTGGGTGTAATTCCACCTTCACTCCATATTTCCTACAACCCCTCAGCGTTGGACACAGACCCCAGCTGTGTACTGGAACTTGAGGGCTGCTGTGGAGATTCCCACTGCTCACCACAAAATGCAGCATCACCACAGAGAGGTCCACAAAGGAGCACGAGAAGCAGCCAGCGCGTTACCTACCTGACAGCACACCCTTTGCAGTCACCTTCAATGTCCCTGAAATTCCACAGTCCTATGGGCTTGCTGTCTAGGAAGGTCTCACCCATGCAGCCCGTGAAGGTGGTGACTCTTACAGCATCCGACTTCTGCAAGAGAAAACACAAACGTCATTAGATTTCCATCTGAAGTGACCGACTGTGTCTGAAAGCAAAACTGGAATGAAAATCACAAATATGAGAAGACGCTTCTTATTATTTTAAATATAAATAGTAATAATTAACCTGAAAAGTCCTCCTAGTAAAGAACTGATCAGCAAAAATGGGAGCAAAGCTTTGTATCAGTCAGCATGGGAAAGCCCATTTATTGGAGACTCTGGGGCAGCCTGGGCAGAGCAATTCCTGGAGAACAAGGAGATGTCCTAACTTCCACGTCACCATCATCTCTCCAGGCTATTCAGAGAGCTGCCTTCTCCCACTTTTCCACAGTCTATCTGGGGTTTGGTTTAAGACTTCACAGAAAGGATTATAAGGAATCTTGCCTGCGATGCAATAAGCAAAATATTTCCACTGTACTCAATGCTCAAAAGCCTGGCATTGGAGCACATCATCCAAGGTAAAAGACCAACCGGCTACACCTGTAAAGCTTATGCTGAATTTTGGATGCAGAAAAAAAGTGCAGATGGCAAAGCAATTAAAACTCATATCCCATCAGACCTCATTAAGCTAAGGTCACGCACGTGGGTAATGCTCATTAGATCACAACATGGTACTATGATCAAGGTGGTGAGATTTGACAGTACACAGAGTACTCAGCTCAGAATTATCCTTCTAAAAATACCGAGTTTCATTTAGATTTCACTTCATCAATATGAGCTGATTGAAAATCTATATACTTAGCTATTTGAGACAGACAAGCACCTGCTGTTTTCCACACAGCAATTACAAATATTAAGATCCTGCAAGAGAATATGGAGAAGTGCAACTTGAAAATATTCACGGAAAAGTATGATTCACAAGACTTAATGTGTTGGTGATATTTCCCAGGGTAATTGGGAAGGTTTTAATTAGCAACAAGTATGAACTTAATGTCACTTCTGAGAAATTAATGACATCTAAGTATCATAGTCTTCTACTTGAGTCAGATGAAAGATGTTTTTAAAAACTGAAAATGAGCCTTTTTTCTGAATACACTGCAAAGACGCCGACAAAAAGGGATGTGGACAAAATCCCAGGACAAACCAAAAGCACTCCAAGACACACAGGCTTCTGAGACATAGATTTAAAAAACATCAGTGACCTTAATACATGGGTATTTTTAAGCTAAACTGGACTTCAAGACACTGATTTCAAGCAAGTGGAATCTGTATTTTCTATGTTCGTCTTGTATCCTCTAATTTTGTCTTTGTCAGTCTGGAAATGGGCACCCACGCTGTTCTTTGTTAGAAAGGAATGTATCTATCCACATATTCCCAAACAACAACCACCTAGAAAGTTGAACTTTCTAAAAACTAGAAAGTTGGACCATAAAATATGGTGCTATTCCAACATTTAAGGACATATACAAACTTTAGGGTAAAAAAAAAAGGTTCTTTAAGTTCACTGGGAAACTCTAAATATTAGCTTTTATTTTTTTAATGTTAAATGATGATTATTTTTTTTTTAATATTAACATAAAGAAAAAAAATGGATCAGGAACAAAACAGTTCATTTAAATTGTGTGGTAATGAATTCCACTGGAAAATATATGCTAATTACTACTTATGGGTGAACATTTTTTGCTGAAAGATTTCCATCCGTTCTATTTGGTATAAATCTTCTATTCATTCCCATTAAGTTAAGCAATGTAGAAGCAGTCACCAAAAAAATGAAGAGGTAAAGAAGAGAAAATAAGATCAGTTAAAAAGAGGGGCAGTATGGGGGGAAAACAGGAATGAAAATCAAGAAAATAAAGCAGAAAGGCCAAAAGTAGTCTGCGAAGGAGACAAAGCAATAACAAAAATTGTCCACATAAATAGCCAGTTAATCCACTTGCACCAGACAAGACTTTACCTTTATTTTTTCAGTTAAACCACCAACAAAGAGCACGGCGTTGGCATCTACATCCAGAATGCTATACCCAGGTGGAGAGACAGCAGTGAAGGTGGCTGGCACGATGCTGGCTTTGGGACCATCCAGAGCGCGCACCGATATCGTGCCATTTTTCCCAGTCCTAGAGATTTTAACGAAATAATTTAAGCATACAGAGTCAGCAGTTAAACCAAACATGGGAAAAGCCTATTTTAGATGGCATCTTTTAATAGAGGCACGTATTACCGATTTGATTATGTTAAATGTTGATACAAATGAATAGACTTATGCCTGCAGAAGTTAAAGACGTGATCACAGAACCAGGAGTTTTTTCTCACCTCAGTGTCCACTTTGAACAAAATTCACTATACAAATGAAGTGAAACTCTCATTGATAGAAATTGCTTTTTTTTTTTTAAATTATTGTGAACTAAATTAGCGTTAGGTAATTGTTTCTTGGTGTAACAAATGATGCAGGCAAGGAAATATCTGAATTTTCTGAGGTTTATTAGATTATATTTGAACTGAAATGAACGATGATGGGATAAAATACATCAGTTTGCTCCACTGTGATGCACAGAGTTTGCATTTTCTGCAGTGGAGCTCCCTGGTTGCCTCTCAAACCCCATTATGTTTAAGGATGTTACCTCATTGTCCTCTCTGAACTGTATCAAATATTGACGGTAACAACAACAAAAGAATTTGCCATTTATTTGTAGTTTCTGCAGCAGTTTGTTTTATATTCCTGAGGTTCTATTCATGCAGTAACTGCACGGAATGAGTTCACTGACATTTTTCCAATAGAAGGAACAGAAAGTGGAGAGAGATGATTCCTCCTGGTCTTTCAGGTATATAGAAAGTTATTTCAAGGGAAACTTGAATAATTTTGAATCCTTTGCAATAACTTGCTTAATATTACTCAGTATGGGTACTAGTTTTCCATTGAAATATTACTACTTACCTAATAGAAGTAAACTATTAGGCATTTATAGTTATACCATAAATTAGTGTTTTCTCCCAGACAGATGGGCCACAATCAACACATGTATCATATCATTGTACACAAAAACATGGAATGCGACCCAAATCCAGTCACATGCAGATGAAGGATCTAGAATGGTCAGTAACGTGGAGGAGTGGCTGGGGGATGAGGAGATGAGGTAGGCAGAAGGAGAGCACATACTATGCATTTATGGGCAACTTTGGAAATTGCTGCTTTATCTCAATTTTAATAAGAGGCAGGACTTCCCATTATTATTGTCATGTTAATTTGGAAATTTCTAACGTGAATCCTTGATCTTGCAATCTTAACTAGCACTGAAACACTCAGCACGGATACCAATATTACACAGAACTTTTCTAACTTATATGTTTGATAGTGAATGCATAAATACACCATTTTAGAGAAAATTTACTGTCTTTTGCCGTAACAGTTTACAGAGAGAGTGTACCTGTCAAGAGTGACTACCCATGTTTCAGATTACGAGTGTGATTGGACTCTAAAATCTACTCAGTACCTGTTCTCAAACTAGACAAAACAGATTTTATGTCTAAATTTTGAAAAAGGTTTCTGGGGATAGGAAGGAAGCTGATTAAATAGAGGAGATAAAATTCACCAAAAATTTACACATGTAGCTTTTCTAGATGAAAATTTACATATTCATCCTATCAAGATACTGTCAAGTCACAACCAGAAATTAAAAAAAAAAAAAAATAAACACCCCTTTGATTTCCTGAAGTCCTGAACTTTGCTGCATGCAAAATACAAAATTCCCTTTTTTCTAATTAGAAAAAAAAAAAAAAAGAAAAAGATTTGTTTGGGGTATTGAAGTAACAAGCAAACTAAAAGTTAAAAGCATTACCTTTCAGGAAGAACAGTCACTTTTGTTAAATAAAGCTTTACTTGAAGAACACAAGGCAAGGAATTCTGCAGAACAGACTACTGAATTAGCTAAATGAAGACATTCCTCTCCTGCCCTTACAGAATTCCTGGATTTACAAAGTTTACTGGACCAGGGATCTAGAGGGTGGAAAGACTATGCATTTTATCTCTATAAAATACTCTTCAGAAATTCCTTTGGCTCAGAACTTATTACCCAAAACCCAGAATGATCTGAAAGTTTTCTTATGAAGTAACACAGAACTGGAAAAAAAGCCACTTTAATAATAAAACAAGATTTAGTTGAGACATTGCGGTTTTGATAAATTTCTCCTCAGCTGTGAAGGGGGGTTGCAAAGTAAGTTTGAGGGTTTCCAATCAATGGGGAATATCTTTGTAGATCTATGCCACCTTGCCTGCTTTGTAGTCAGTGATCTCAAGGATTTCAATGTGAAAAGTACATATTTGCCAAAAAAACACTGGAGCTTTTCTATTATCCACCCCTACCTTGATCTGGCAGCTCTGGAAACCACATGTAAAGGACTCTCAGTTTCCCAGGGAATGTCCTAAGTGACATCTGGGGTGTGTGGACATGGAGTTGCTCCAAATCATTTTAAAGAAGTTGGCTAAAGCCATTCACATTATTCTAAAGGGTTATTTTTTTTAAATTTCCTTTTAATATCAATATTTTACCTTGTATTCCAAAATCAATTGAATGCTAAGTAGATAGATTTCTATGCAGCAGAAATTCCAAATTTTTACTTTATTTTTTCAGAAGGTTTATTGATGTTAAGCCCTTTAAAAGTATGAAAGTTCTCAGTGTAGTAATTGTTGACAGATAACAGTGGCTAAAGGCTTTTTTAAAAACTGTTTAAGTTTGACAGTCTCTGAAAGAAAGCCATTGGCACCTACAATCTATATTGTGGTCAAATCAAGATTCCAGTTTAAAAACATCTGAGTTCAATCACTCAGAAGTCACTGAGCAGACTGACACTTTTTAGGGTATCTAATATGTCACGAATAGCACGGATGTCTTTCATCTTCAAACAGATTGAAATGCTAACTATGGAGTCCTTCCATAAATAATTCTCTCTGGTTTAGGGAGGACAACTGAGCTTGAAGAAAGAACTTGGCTAATTTGACAGCAAAAAGACGTGACTATCCTGTGTGTGACAAGGCATCAGGTTAGACAATAACTGTTCTCGTGATAGTCAGGTCTTGCAGAAAATAGTGGATTAGAGGAGATGTACCAGCGCTTTAAGGCCCCATCTGGAGTACGGGGTCCAGTTCTGGGCTCCTCAGGTCAAGAAGGACAGGGAACTGCAGGAGAGGGTTACAAAGATGATGAGGGGCCTGGAGCATCTCTCTGATGAGGAAAGGCTGAGGGACTTGAGCTTTTTTAGTCTGGAGAAGAGAAGGCTGAGGGGGGATCTGATCAACATCTATAAATACTTAAAGGATGGGTGTCAGAAGGATGGGGCCAGGCTTTTTTCAGTGGTGCCCAGGGACAGGACAAGAGGGAATGGGCACAAACTGGAACATAAGAAGTTCCATCTAAACATGAGGAGGAACTTCTTTCCCTTTGAAGGTGGCAGTAGAGGCTGCCCAGTGGAGTCTCTGTCTCTGGAGACATTCCAAAGCCACCCAGAAATGTTCCTGTGCAACCTGCATGAACCTGCTCTGGCAGGGAGGTTGGAGGAGATGATCTCCAGAGGTCCCTTCCAACCCTGTATCATTGTGTGATTCTGTGAGATTCTGTGATAATCCCAAAAATTTATGTAATGCCACGTGTGCAGGGTTTGCTCTTTAGGAGATGCATGATGTAAATGAGATGACCTTTGCAAGTAATCAATGTTAGATTACAAGATACCACATAAAGACCTCTGCTCCTTGACCCCTTGAAAGCAAAGAACATCTTAATTGGGAAAGTATGGCTTAGATTTGGCACAGCAGTTAAAAAGGGAATTCTTGCTGAGCTGGGCTGGATGTGCCCACAGTGAAGCTGTGAGTCAAGAGTCCTCTGTCCTCAAGGGCTGCTTAAAATCTGTCATTAGCAATTAAAACAATGGTAATACTTAAATCACACTTGATTAAAATCACAACTAATCAGGTCCTGCTCCTAATTGAGGCCTGCTGAAGTCAAGTGACATCGCTTCCCTGATCCAGCCAGTCTCAAAAATATTGTCACCCATTTGACTGTTGCACAAAATTGACACTATTTGCATTTCAAAACTGCTTTAAATCATTTTGTCACATACTGTTATGCCACATTTTCCTTTGTTAATTGATATTTTGATTGATTGCAGTTCTTGATGTCAATCAGATTTGCCTCTGTAAGAGGGTAAGTAACTCTGTAAGTGATTTTTGATAAATCCCTGTACGATCAATACGCAGGGAATTCCTGTAGGAATTCCTATAGGAATAAACAAATTTGACTTCAATTCTATTTAAAAAAAATTAAAATATTTCCATGACAGCCTCTGCACATACAATAAAATGCAAAGTATTAGTATCATTAAAATAAAAAGGTGATGAAAATTACAAGTGTCCCTGGAAAACAGATGCAGTAATTATCACAGAGTCATAGAGTCATCCATGCCGGAAGGGACCTCCAAAGGTCATTTAGTCCGACCTCCCCACAGTCAGCAGGGACACCCCCAACTAGACCAGGTTGCCCAGGGCCTCGTCGAGCCTCTCCTTGAATATCTCCAGGGATGGGGCCTCAACCACCTCCCTGGGCAACCTGTTCCAGTGCCCCACCACCCTCACAGTGAAGAACCCTCTCCTTATCTCCAGTCTAAACAAGACTATCAATTTAGTCTTAACAGTCTGGAAATTTTGGCATAGCCATTAAGTGGACTGAACATCTCTGATCAGTACTCAACAGCCAGCTTTTTTATATATCGATTCCATTCAGTATGCTGAGTGACCTTGAGAATTTCACAACTTCTGTACCACCACATCTCCTCTTTCCAAGGCCCTTGGGGATCCCCGTTGAAGAACCACTATCAACGTTTCATCCTTCCATATCCACGTGTGTCAGTGCCCATTGCCTCTGAGACCTATGGCAAGATTCAGCAAGGCCAGAATTTCATCTTATGTCTCTGTTCTAAGTGGGTGCCCTGCTCCAGGCACCTCAGTCAGGCTGCTGAAAAAGTCTGTGGCTGGAACCAGGCAGAAATTTGGAGAAAAAAGGTGAAGAAATGAACTGAGTAAAACTCTCATGAAGGGAGACAGAGGAGAGTTATCAACTGGACTGAAAAATTGGGCAGAAATTTGGACAAAAAGTGAAGAAATGAACTGAGTAAAAATCTCATGAAGGGAGACAGAGAAGAGTTATCAACTGGACTAAAAAGTTCAAAGCTGAAGACTCTTCAGGAGGGTATGAGGCAGAAATTTGGAGAAAAAAGGTGAAGAAATGAACTGAGTAAAACTCTCATGAAGGGAGACAGAGGAGAGTTATCAACTGGACTGAAAAATTCAAAGCTGAAGACTCTTCAGGAGGGTATGTGATCCATGAAGTCTGCCTCGAGAATGTAAAATCAGTCCCGAGCTCTTCATCTTAATCCCACAAATCCAGCTAATGCCCCTGCAATGTAATTCTCCTAAACAACCCTCTGTACTTCAGATTTGTGCAGCTGTAATTGCTCTAAATTGCTGACCCAGCAGTTTGTTGGAAACTAACGGCGCGCGCGCCCCATCTATCCAGAGCAACCAGCCCAACAGGCAACGTGCTTTTGTAGGACGTGTGAATTTTTATACCACGTCCTGGCTCCCTATTCTGCTGAAGCAGCTTTCTTGTAAATGAAAGTCTGGCATTAGCGTGTCACAAAGCTATTTTGGTATGCATGAGACAAACCAGAGAAGTTTTCAACAATTCATATTGTACCCCAGTTTGGATTTTCCCAGCAACAAGGTTTCATTAAGGCAGCTTCTGGAGACGGTGCCATAATTTTATTTAATTCTCTGCTCCGAATGGCTGATTCCTATGATTTCACTAAATTATTTAAACTGGATGCCATTTCCTCCTCTGAGAGCTATGAACGTAACCAGAATTAAAGTGCTTTGTTTTGTTTCTCCTTCTTTCTTTCATTTTCTGACTATATTATCGGCTCTATGCTTAATACTATGTGAAATTAACTGTAATGGTGCAGGAGGAATTACTCAGCTTCACACCAAATTGCAATATAGATGATGTTATCTAAATTACTAAGATGTGCTCAGAAGATAACAGATATAAAGTAATGTAATCATTATTGTGTATTTACCACACCATATGTCGTGTGTTTGCTATTTGAATGGGAAATATAAGCTTCAACTAACAAATGTAAAATTTGAGCATTAAGGTGTCTGTATTTCTAAAGTTCAAAAGCATTCAACAGTTGATCTCAAAGCAGAAAGCATAGTTTAACTTTCCAGAATATTTAATCCCTGAGTTTTCATAAACTGTATCTTTTAAAACATCTCCAGTTTGAAGAGACATTTTGCCTGTGGAAATGGTAAGAAACAAGACACTTGGTGTATGACAGATTATTTGTTTGCAGTACTGTATCAAGACCAGAAATTTAGAAAATTCACAAAAATCTTTGAAATTCAAGCCGAAAAGAATAGTAATTATCTGTTTGAGTGCCAAAACCTGTAACTGATTTCAAAAGGGTGTTAGTTGAAGAAGAGAATCGATGGAGCAATAGATAAACAGAAGGGAATATAAGCAGTCATGGATTGTTGATGCTAGAGGGGAAATATATGATGAAAACCAATTCTTGACACAGTACAATTCACATTTCAATAGTAATTGCAGTATATACACTTTTGGTACTATTGGACGTATGTTCAAAAGCTTTCAATAAACTAGACTAGAATTTCTCATATTTATATCATCTTTTTAAAAGAATTTATGTTTCAAATGTAGCAAACATCTCTGTGTAAACCTGAGATCTGCCTACTTGAGGACAGTGGATTTGAAGCAGAAGATGTTAAATTTAGCCATTTTTTCTTTAGGAAACAAATCTTGGAACTGAAATATATACTTGCCTAGAGGCTTCAATCCGGTACCAAAACCCATCATCAATGGTCAGATCTGGATACTCGACCCGTCCAACACCAGATCCCACATCCCACAGGAAGCTCACCTTGCCTTTGCGCATCTCTATGGCCAGGAAGTCAGTCTAGGTGGGAAATATGAAAATAGAATATGAAAATATGAAAATAGAAGCAATATCATACTTTAAATAAAAGAATTTTTACAGAGCTCTCTACATTTCAGAAGGTCTAACGAGCCACAGGAAACCCATATATAGATGGTAAAGTATGAACATTAATGCTCACAGTGATCTAAAATGAGATTCTACTTTTCCTGCTTTCGTTGCTTCGAACAAGGAATCTTAACCCACAGATGGCAAATGAATTCTGTCAGTGACACGCAGTAAATGGCTGTGAGAGGTACAGAAATGTTAATATTGTAGCCATCAAGAGAAGGATTTAACTCAGAGTAATGCTGTTTGTAAAACATCCATTGGATGGCAGAAAGGTGTCAGGATTCTAGGCTAATACATGGTGCCATTTTGCCTCTTCATTTTGTATGAAGTAAATAAAATATATATTTCAAACTGTTAGAAATAGAAAACTTTTCCCATTTACTGAATTATTTTTGATTATTCTAGACGTCTGTCTGCTATAGGGCTCCTGGGAAACCGAATCATTCATCATTATTATGCTTGGAATTGTAGTCTTGGCTTAAAATTACAATAAATAGGAGCTTTGACAGATGCAAGATGATTAGGTTTCCCAAGGGAAAACCCACAACCAACCCCAAAATTACCCTGCTTGCACTGTGAATTTTAAAGCTCAAATGTAGTCCATGTATATTTCTTATCTAGTGAAAAAAATAAATAAATAAAAATTAGCTGGTCATATTTGAGACGTCCCCATATTAATGCCAAAGACAGTGAATGTCTTGATTATCTTAGGACCTCTACTACTGCTTTGAAGCCCCTAGAAGGAAAAAAAAGCCCTTCTCATCCTCTTTATTTGTCAGTTGTCTGATTTGATCGAGCAACCCTGACATGAAAAGCAGGAGACAGACTTACAAACTTGGCACTTCCAAGGTAAAAAAGCAGATTGTCAGCAACAACAGTCTTCACGTTGACAATGACGGTGTTGTACGTTCCCTTCTTTATCTCCGGTCTGTATGTGCGAATACAATTGCCTCCAGAGGACACAGACACTTTGATCTTCAAAAAAAAAAAAAAAGCAGAGCAGAAAGAATTCAGTTTATTGTTTATTATGCCAGAAATAACTTCAGATGCTTCCAAATAATTGCAAGAATATTATATGTTTGTTGTTTTTTTTTTAGTTCTTTGCCATTTGTGTGCTACATGTCCCAGGGAGCTGCGTGGATATGCACAGGAGGTGGAAATAGAATTTTCTTTCTGGGATTGTTTTTTAAAAGGAAATAAAACTCTTTCTGGCATTCACATGCGAAAGGACGAACCGTATGGATTAAAAATAGCTAGAAGATATGCTGGTCTAAGGCGAGCAGCAGTGGAATTCTAGCAGCAGAGATAGTCTATAAGCAGAATGTGCAGCCAGGAAAATAAGCAGCTCTCCTGAAGGGGTCACATTGTGATCAGGAAGATGGGATGCTCTATCTTTTTCCTTGTAATATCTTTGCTTATGCCAGTTTAAGACATCTTTTAACAACTATTTTTAACCCAACAGTTGTGTCTATCACTGCTTTTACACAGCCCCTGATGGTATTCAGACCCGAGATTCATTTTCACAGCCGAGTGACGTGTGCATTTGGATATTGGGGCTGGTTTCCTCAGGCTCTGAGCACAGAGAAAACTTTGTTTGCTTTTATAAACCCAGCATAGACACAATGACAGTAGAATGGCATTTCAACTCCAGCGAGACGTGTTTATGTATTAGAGTAAATGTACATAATGGTAGCACCTTATGCTCGGGGCAAACTTTGTCAAAAAGAGGAGCCATTAGATACCCAAACTCACAACTTCCCCATCTCAGAAATGCTGAGCAGTTCAGTACTTCAATGTCTTCAGACAGAAGATGAATGTAACAAGACCATATTATCACTGTCGCCTGTCTTTCTACCATGGGCAAATTTCGTCAAGTATTATGGAATACACTTCTCTCCCAGGATCCCATTATCCTGTCGATATTTAACGCCTTCAGACAGAAGATGAATGTAACAAAACCATTTATCACTGTAGCCTGTCTTTCTACCTTGGGCAAATTTTGTTAAGTATATGGGATACACTTCTCTCCCCTCCCAGGATCCCATTATCCTGTCGATATTTTTTTTTCAACCATTTTTCAGGAAGTTTTCATAGAATCATAGAATGGTTTGGGTTGGAAGGGACCTCAAAGATCATCTAGTTCCAAGCCCCCTGCCCTGGGCAGGGACACCTCCCACCAGACCAGGTTGCTCCAAGCCCCATCCAGCCTGGCCTTGAACCCCTCCAGGGATGGGGCAGCCACAGCTTCTCTGGCCAACCTGTTCCAGTGTCTCACCACCCTCATAGTAAAAATTTTCTTAACCACCATCTTCAAGATTTTTTTTCCTTTGCTACAAGATCACCAGCTGCATAACCTCAGTATTAACCAGCTGATCCTCAGTTTAGAGTATTACTGAGTCAGGGAGATGGACTCCAAACTCATTAAATGGAGGAGAAATATATTTTTAACTCAAGTTCAAGTCCTCAGAACTGTTGCTGGACAAAGAAAGTAAAGAATATGGGAAAAGCAAATGCACTCAGCAATTTCAGTGAGTCTGAGATGGTGTCATTCTCGGGGAATGTAAGTTCTGTGAAATGAAATCAGGGGCTCAATACCAGTGCTGAGGTGAAAAAATACATTTTTTTTTCCACAAAAAAATCAATGATGCTGTGACTCTTCTGCTGTACTATCACCCACAAGACGTTTTAAATAACAACCTTTCCAGATACATTCCTACAGATGTCATCCATTTAACAAGGGCATGTTTTAAATGAACAAGACACAGAGTGAAAATAATCAGAATATTCTCTTTTTATCTGTGAAATTATACTCCATTTCTTGCTCCCTTTACACATTTAGAATTAGAAAGGGCTCACCCCATGGAAAAGAAATAGAAAAGTAGAAAATACAATGCCATCAATACTCAAAAGTTCATCTGACTGAGAAAGAGGGCTTACCGAGTTGGCTTGTTTCCGAGCTTGGTTTATCAGCTCTTTTATCTGAGAAATGTTTTTCCCCAAGTTATCCTGAAGTTCTTTGATTGGCTTGATTTTCTCCAGCAGGCGATCTGCTTCCTTCTCTAGGGTTTTAATACTGGCATCTGCATCAGCAACTTCATAAGAAAGAATGAGGCAGAGTTTCAGAGAGTAGCGTCAGAGAGTAATTATACACTGCAATAATAAAAACCAAGAAAATTCTGCATATACAATACTCAGGCGATTGTATATGCTGCTAGGAGGTACACACGGGCCAGGAAGCTACCTGAACAGAATAAGATAAGAATATTTAGAATCAAGTTAAAGTGGCAATAGTAGCAAGTGCAGGCGTTAAAGCAGGATTTTTAAGCAGTGTAACTAGGCTTCAGGTCAGGATGACACTAATGGAAAACATTTCTTATAGCAAAATACACTTATGAACGAAATATTTACTTACCTTTTTTTTATTTTAAAACTCAAACTTTGAAGAAAATGCTAGCTTAATGAAAACTGGTTAGTTTCCACTAGTAATTTCTGAAACAGGGTTAGAATTAACTGAAGTTAATTCTTGACTTAACCATAATGGCCACCACTAGAAAAAGGCTTTATTCTGGTCACAAGTTTAAAATTCGGTGTGTGTACTGAAAGCAGATTAAAAAGCAGTGGCAGGAAATTGCAAATATTGTCTTTTTTCAGGTGAATTTACTGATTTCAAAAGGATAATTTTTTCTCCCTTTTTCTTTAAGGCTTGAAATTACTTTTTTTGTCCCTCAACACGCAACCAGTGAACCCTGGTTGCCCTCTCTTTGACAATTCATCAGCAGATCTAAGGATCGCACACTTGGCTCGCCTGAAGGTATGGATTCGTGCAGATGACACTGAAAGGGACAAACCTGCATTTACCAGATGAATGTATATTGAATTAAAGCAATAATAATAATAATGCTTAGATAAAGCATGAAAGCCTGTGTATCTAGTTTTTCAATAGTCACCCAGACACTGATGCTAAACCTTCAAGATGCTTCTTAAGGTTCCACATTAAAGTGACTTGGTAACTAGTTTCATTATCTCAGAGACTTCACAAACTAACTATTTAAGTATTTCAGTGAATGTGACATGTAGAAAGCACCATGCAGAAGCTTTGGTGGTAAGCAGGGAATCATCATTTACTGGAAAAGGCACAATAAAAGCAGGAAGAAAGACACTGTACGTACGGATTTCTGTAGGCAAGATATGGAGACAGAGAAAAGAGAAAAAACAGAAGATAATGTAAGAAAATGTTTTGAAGATCTGAACAGAAATGTAAAGTAAATTAAGGGACAGAACTATTCTAGAAAATGCTTACTATTACTTTTCATATCTACATAATGAGAATTCACAGCTTGAATTTTGAGACACAAGAGAGGCTGTGCCTACTTTAGCCATGAATGCCAACATACCCACTATATATATTTGGAGTGGTTTGCTCTGCATTTACTTCAATCTCATTCTATAACCTGAGCATCCACTAGCAGCTGAGGAGTGGTAAAAGTGTGCTGCTGAAGAACATCTTCCAGTTAAGCTTTATCTGACATGAAAGAGTTTGCACGTGTTAAGACCACTCCTCAATGTGAGCCAAGTAATGGTGACTAGGGGCAATCAAGAGATTAACTTCTAAATTATCACTCCAAATCTCAGCTAAAATTTTAATGTACACGCAGCCTTAGAATCCTTGGGCTGGGACAGATGGCCCAGGCTAGATCCAGCCGTGCCAAGAAATTGCTGCTTTTAGGCCACTTCTCAGCTGTTTATCACTGCCCTGCCAGACATCATTACCTTGTAGATCTGCTTGCTCCATAACCTCATAACCAACCTAAACTCACTATTTCAATCAATAGCTGCTTTTTCATATTGTCTAAACTAGAAGGGATCCATCTGCCTGATGGGGATTATACCCCAGGGCTCACACGTGAGGGATCAGGAACTTGCCACAGGCAGGCAGTGACAAACAGCCGCTGGGATTAACGTCTTTCACTGGTGCAGCTACAGTTGGAAGTGGGTTTTGTCCATGGAACTAGAATGGCAGCTTCCTAAACTGGATGCTTGTGGGTGCTCAGCTTCATCAAGTAGTCAGCTGAGAAATTAGGCCTTCAGTAATTTTGAAAAGACACTCTGGTTTTGTGGTCAGTCCTGGCTGTATACTCCTATATGATATATTCCAGTAACCTGCCATACAACGTAATTTAGAATTCAATTTTATCCATCATAATCCAAGTGAAAATGCTAAAGCAATTATCATATTTCATAATAGAATTCCCTGCCAAAAGAAAAAAAAAGAAAGCATACAAAAACCACTCCCAGATTCTCCTTTTCTCTTTCTTAAGTGACTTCAGTGGTCTACCAAAATAATAATGTATATGAGGGAAGTCATGCATTTCTCCCTGAACTGATTATCTGAGTGACTGAAGACAGAGACAGAGCGTGGAGTTTTGCTTGAATCAAGGGGTGAACTGCCAATCAGAATCTTTGATTATTCATCTCCTAAATACTTTTAAAAGTACTCTGCGGACAAATTTACCCACTACATGTTCATCCTGCGAACATTAGATTTTTTCCAACTACTAGCAGCAGTCCTTAAGATTTAAAATTCTTTTTATATATAAAGTCCAGAAAATAGAAGTAATAGGGATTCCTTTTATCCCATCATACTGTAGTGACGCTATGTCAGTGAAATTCTGGAGTGTCTCTGTTTCATCTTGAGATGTGAAATGAAAACCACAACCTGAAAAAACCCACCACCAAACAACCCAAAAAAGATCTTACTGTTCTTGACAGGATCCTTCACGACAGCGTTTGTTTTCGCCACTTCGTCGGCCAGTTTACTGTAGTTGTTTCTCAAGCCCAGAAGGTTCTGGTTGAGGTCTTTAATCTGGGCCAGGACGTCACTTGCAGTATCGTTGGCTTGTCTCGCTTTGTCTTTGGCTGCCTGAACCCTTATAGTGGTATCTGTTGGTAGAAAAAGATAATGAAATGGTTGCCTAGAGTACAGAAGTTTCCTTCACACTTCTGTCCTCACAGCAGAGGGGCTCCAGCCCTTGGGAGCACCTTCATTGTCACCTGCTTCACATGAAACTGTTCTTAGAGCTGCTTTCCCCTTGTGTTCTCCAGAGTATCCTCATGTCCCTCAGTCACATGAGAATTATGGAGTACAGCTCAGGAGTTTGGACACCTCTGAAACAATCATGTAGAGATGGTGCCTCTTGTCATACTGACATACTGGGGCTTGTCATACTGGGGCTTCCTGTGGTAGTCAGTGAAGTTAAGAGACTGCACAGGAGGTTGTGATGCCTTCCCATTTCTGACTAAGAGACAGACCAACATTTGCTTGGAGTGGACATTCTTGATTCTCTGTGTGAAGACATGCGAAACAGCGACAGTTCCATTTCTGACTAAGAGTTGGTTTATACCAACATTTGCTTGGAGTGGACATTCTTGAGTGATGCCTTCCCATTTCTGACTAAGAGACAGACCAACATTTGCTTGGAGTGGACATTCTTGATTCTCTGTGTGAAGACATGCGAAACAGCGACAGTTTCTCCATTTCTAGGGAACAACAGCATAGATTTCCAAATTATCTCCTAGGCAGGTCCTTCTCCTCCTCTGAAACATCTGATGTGATCAAGCCTGTGGCCTGGGGAGCACATATGCTTCCAAAGGCCATGGAAAATTGACACATTTGTCCTGCACTCTGGAGAGTTACAAGACCCTTTTTACTTTCTTGAGTAAAGATATATTATACCTGTGCTCCAAACAACTCTACCATTATTTCTGAAGGTTGGGCTCTGAAAAGCCTCCCATATGCTTCCAAAGGCCATGGAAAATTGACACATTTGTCCTGCACTCTGGAGAGTTACAAGACCCTTGTGATGCTTCCTAAGGCCACGGAAAATTGACACGTTTGTCCTGCACTCTGGAGAGTTACAAGACCCTTTTTACTTTCTTGAGTAAAGATATATTATACCTGTGCTCCAAACAACTCTACCATTATTTCTGAAGGTTGGGCTCTGAAAAGCCTCCCAAACACAATAGCACCTTGAAAATACAACTGAACCTTTAATAAACTGTTATCATCATCAGTACTGACAAGTGGAAGATCAGAGAGTGCTGATTGCCTTTTTTCACTCCCTTTTTTTCATCATATCCAAGTATCTCCTTTTGAGGCCATTATTAGAGGTCACCACCTTTCTGGCAGAGTGAGAGTTGGAGTTACTGTGTTACTTCCCTCTATTGGTCACACAAATGAAATTTATTTTCAGCCACACTTTAAACTATGCCATCCCTGCACGTGTGGGTCCTTGTCCTAAGATGATCTACCCATCTAGCCCATTTTGAATCTTTCTGCTTTTATTTGGCTATTAGTATAGCAAAGCCACAAGAATTATTAGTTTAAGCTGCTCTCTGCTTTCTTGAATCCTTGAAAAACAAGAAATATGACAGGGTCATTTCCTCCCCCGTCCTCATTGGTTGCTTCTGTGTCGGACAACTAATTTACTGCATTTCCTTATCCATCTCATTTATTTGCTCTGAATTTCATCCTTAATACACACCCGCTTGTTTTTACGAGTGTCCTTGTCCCAAGAGCAAGCACCCTGTAACTCTAATCTGACAAGAGTTTACCACATTGCCAATGGTTGCATGTTTCACATTTCTTCTACTTATTTAGTATTCTGTGTCCTAAGGTCAACTGGCCTTAGAGGTCCTTTTTCTTTGCCTGAGACAAACTGTCCTGTCAATACCTGTGGCCAAAACCCGGGAAATGGCAGAAGATGAGTATGACACATAAAAACAGATCTTTGGGAAGGCCTGATTTCAAGGATCACTAAATCGCAAACAAAACTTTTCAGTTGTCTGGAATCTTAAAGCCACAAAAAACGTGCAAGATGAATAGCAAATTGTTTTTCATGCCAAGTTTTTACTCGCAGTCTGAACCTCCCAGACCACCACAAATCAGACAGAATATAGATTTTCTTTAGAGACTTTTCTTAAGGCATATCTTCAGTTTATAAATTGCTCCTCGGAGATAAATGTTGTAGCAAATTACACGGATAAAGAACTTTTTATTTTCTAAAACAAACATTGAGTTTATCACTGTCTGCTATGAAGAAACTATGTTGTAGCTCTGTCTCTCGCTATCACAACACAAAGTAGCTAACATCCCAGGATTCAGGAGTTTAATAAGTATTACAAGTTTGTGGGGTTAAGTTGTTGTTGTGGTTTTTTTTCTATATAGAATTACGAATGTGCACAGCACTTCAGAGCTCATTGAGGACAGCCTGTTCCAGTTCTAAGCCATTTACAGTCTAAAAAAGTTACACAACACCAAAAAGTGACTGGAAACAATTCTGCAGCACAAATCAATGGGAGAGTGGTAGAAAGGTAAGACAAAACCCAGCAAATTTCATCCTGCTTTTTATGTAAAGTCCATAAGTCTTTCTTCTTCTTGGGTTAAATTATACTGGTTAAATTATAACGGTTCATTAAATAATCGTTTCATTAAAAGACTTTTCACATTGAAAGAAAAGACTATTAGTTTCAGATTGTATCATAATTCCTGATATCGTAATTCTGTTCTTCCTGAAACCTTTTGCAAATTGCAGAAGTGTGGTACCTTTAATGTGCCAAAATACAGACACCACGTATCTGCTTTCAGCTCGGTTCTCCCTCTCCCATTGCTCATCTTTGTCTTATCACAGCGGCCAATGGTCGCAGCGTGCCCAGCGTGGACACAGGCAAAGGTTAATCAGACAGATTTAAGTGACAGAAAGTGAAAGGGATGAGTTGAGTGTTGCAGTACTTTTCCAGCTTACCGTTGGGAATGGCTGACAGCTTTCCTAAGGTTTCATTCAAAGTTCTCAGGAGGATGGAATTATTCTCATCGACCTCTTTCAGCCTGTTCTGCATGGTGTCCAGGTCGTCCCCCTTTTCTAGAAAAAGTACACACAAAACAGAAGCTTTAACTCTTTGTTTCCTTTGTTTGCACAAAATTTGAAATGCGTAATAATGAGCAAGCCACTTATCATTAAGATATTATACTATATAAATAAGGAAGTCCAGTAAAACTGGTTGTAGGCTTCACTGATAATCTTCTTCTGTTTCTTTAAGTTCCCTACGTCCATAGCATCTAAATGCTTGAGTTTCTTGTGCTGTTGTGTATTTATCAAGGGTTTTCCTAAGGTGTACAGGAGAAAGAAAAAAATGACAATCACAGAAAGTGTGATTTATGCAAACTCACACAATGACCCACTGATAGATTCAACATGTGTGATATTTAGTCATAACTTCGATTCCTAGATTAAGCTATCACTGAAATTTTCTTCTTAAGGGGTTGCCTGGGATTAATGAGTTGACCATAGTGTGAAAGAGGCAGCATTAATTAGGTCAGTTTTACTGTTGCAATTAGACTGGCCAGAGCCCATCTCTCCCAGATTTTCTCAGAGATAATCAATCTTGATATTTGAGGAAATATCAACATGAGAAATAATATTTGAGGAAAACACATAAGATCACCATAGCACCGATTGTCAATATGGGGAGAATACACTAACAGGTTACGAAATAAACATACTCAATTTTGGAGTAAAAAGCCCACCTAGTAAATAAAACCCAAAGCTAAGAATACGTTCAAATCAAAGAACTAGTACAAATCAAAGGCACGGGTCTGTCACATTTGGTACATGACAGATGAAACTGATGTTATCCTTTACAGGTAAGTTTTTATTCTTCAGCAGTTGCTTTGAATAAAAATTATGGAGTTCTTTGGAACAGAATCCAGCACAGCAATGACTTTTCAAACTCTCAAAAGTGAGATTCCAGCTAAGCATTATGGCTATTTAAACAGACGTTAGTTCAAAATTCAGAAGTACAGTTTGGCACAGAAAATGGTAGTTAATGCTTAAACCACTATCTTAGGGGGTATTTTTCATCATTTTTTCCTATCGACATGGAACTCTCTGGAACAGACAGCTGGTAATTTCTTACCTTAAAGGCATGCCCTACTGGGAAACTAATTCAACATTGCTGTGCCTGAGAGCAGGGAGAGGAGAGTAATTTGTAGAAAAAGAGTTCAGGACACAAAGTATGACTGTGACCTTCAGATACGCGACGTGTTACTGAAAAAAAAAAACACCTAGTTTTTGGATGCTTATCCAAGCAGATACTGGGAGAGGAAAACATACTGGAGATAAAGTTATTGGTCACATACTTGTGAATTGTGGTCACATACTTATCAAAAGCAAAAAGCATCTCTTTCTATTAAGGGACAATAATTACATGTATCATTGGTACTCCAGCATCTCCAACAGCATCAGGGCTGTAACCCTTTTGTGAAAGAATAAACAGAATAATAGATTAAAACGAGGGACTGTAGTTCATGTTCCGCAAATTCTAAAAAATGTAAGGTTTCTTAAAACTAGATATACAAGAGCCGACTTGTAAAGAGAAAAGTCAAACAAAATGTATATTAGCTACAAGAAATCCCTAACTAGTTTTTCCAAGATTATAGCAAGGCTGAAATAGCAGATGAATTTAAATAAGAATCACACTTTTGTTGTTATATACTTTGTAATGTCATTCAGGAAGAAATCTGTTTGACTTGTAAAGAGAAAAGTCACACAAAATGTGTATTAGCTACAAGAAATCCCTAACTAATTTTTCCAAGATTATAGCAAGGCCGAAATAGCAGATGGAATTTAAATAAGAATCACACTTTTGTTGCTATACACTTTGTAATGTCATTCAGGAAGAAATCTGTTTAATTAAGCAACAGACAGGACTGCAGGAGAGCCTTGAGACAAACGTTCTTTCCTGCAAAATGTCCTGCAGAGGAACAGGACGCTTGTGTCAACTGCAAGAGGTGCAGTTAACACTAGAACAAAGCTGTGAAGAATCATATCAATTATAAGATGACTCTCCTCCTCAAAAATACCTTTATTTTTAAATGACAGGTTTTGTCTCCACTGCCGAATGAGAGGGCTGGTACCATGATGTTGTTAAACCAGGATGAACTCAGGAGATTCTGGTCTTAAATGCTCTGAGACTTTTTCTGAGTTCATTTCTTGTTAAGTAATAACACCGACAAAACTGTTTTAATTTCCCCCATTTAATTCTGAAATTATGGTCTGCCTGATATTTCCTTGGTGTCTCTGGTGCCTTTTGGGAGGTTAGTGTTTATTATAAAGTGTGTTAATATTTCTGAGATATTTGATTTATTTCCCGTGGTGTACTAACTTTGTTGCATGCTCCTAAATTGTATCTTTCTCTCCCTTTTACTCTGCCAGATCCAACATTATGCTAATTATCCCCCGGTTATATTTCTGAAGAATCATGTTTCCAGGCTTCTGTTTTCAGCTTTGTAACCATAGCAGCAAACTGATTTTTATGGATTTTAATAAGGGAAGTTTCCCTAGAACTCCTGAAATTGAATACCGAGACTCCACCTGTTCAATATTTTTTCTTTTCATTCCTCAAAAACATTTTAACTGTGGGTGTTTTTTTTTTTAAATATTACAATAAAAAAGCCAGAAATAAGTGCCCTGAGGGAGGCTCTTACAGAAAGAGATGTGAGGAGACACTAAGGCTCACGTCAGCTTTTCAAGGAAATAGTTCACTTTGCGCAGTGACATTAACATGAAGTTGTATTTTGCAGTAAGTTCCCAGTCCCATAACCCAGGTGGCCTTTGCACTAAGCACTGAGCTAATTTGGTTATGAATCATCAACAGAATTGACTTCACGTCAGCTTTTCCCCATCCTTTAATTATTAGCATTTATGAAAAATGCTGGACTACCAGGTACACGACTCAAAGGGTTGTGGTCAACAGCTCGATGTCCAAGTGGTGACCAGTGGTGTTCCTCAGGGGTCAGTACTGGGACCAGTGCCATTTAACATCTTTGTTGGTGACATGGATAGTGGGACTGAGTCCACCCTTGATGAGTTTGCCCATGGTACCAAGCTGTGTGACATGGTCAACGTGTTGAAGGGAAGGGATGCCATCCAGAGGGCATTTCCCCTAAAATAAGCAAGACTTGGAAACTGGTACTAGGGACAAGCAAGGGAAAGAGATATAACCAGAGAAATGGAGCTAATGATGGCTGATTTTTTAAAGAGACTACTTTCAGCACCGACTGCAGTTTTTGTACAAGTATTATGTTGGCCATCAAACTAATGCAATAATTTGCTGAATGCAATCTGCCAGGTCAGCAAAAATACAAAGCAGAGGAGAATGCATAAACAAGGGATTTAGTTTGCCTCTCTTCCGGGAAATGTTTTAGCTAAAAATATTCACGGGTTGTCAGACAAGACAAGCCCCCCTCAACTTGTCAATTCTTGAGCAAAAGCAAGGACACGAGCTGAATTTCAGTAGCCACCTGACAGCAGTCTCCAGCCAAGGAGCAGTTTATACATCTTATTTTCTCTTTTCATTGATCAGTCTTGACAAAGTCTCTATACAGTCTCAAATCTGCACCGGGGCAAGTATATTTTTAAAAAGAGTAAATTCAAAATTAAAAGGAAGAAAAATTGCTCCTGGCAAACTGAGAATCCCTCTAGGCACGGAGAGAAGGAAGCTGGCAGGCAGCAGCCATTCACTCACTTGTAGCCAAAATTTCCGAACTCCTCCTCCGGCAGAGCGCTGCAGACAGGCTTTGCTTCTCCCACCAGGATTATTCCTTCTAACTCCTCGCCCCACAGAGAGGGAAACGACTAAATCTCCATTTTAATAGCTTCTGTCAGAAGGTTTGCTTTGTAAGGACTGTTTCAGCAGTTTTTGGTGGTAATATAAAACATTTCTGTGATTAACAGCCGCTTTATAACTAGGGTAATTGGCCACAAATCAGGTGAATGTCATAATGTAGCAAGAAAATACTCCCACCTCCATCGCAGCCCAGCCTGGATTTCTGGAGTGTGTATTAGTTGAGGGGCTTACAGGTCTTCATTACTTTAACTAATGTACTACCTCTAGTGCAGACAGAGAAATTTCAAACTAATGGTGACTTCTGTCTACCAGATCTTTAGAGAGTGCCCATCGTCCATCCTGCGCTTCCCATCAAGACTCTGAATGGGTTTTTTTTATAAGAATTGTATGAAAATAACGTTCTATCAGTTTTACACTCGACTCTGGCTGTCTATCCTGGAAACACCCAGACATCCAGAAGGGATTATGCTCGTAATACTAATAACACCACCCATTTAGAGCAAAAGAGGGGTGGGGAAAAAAAGAAATCTGTCATTGCATTTTATTCTTACGCTTCTGCATTCTGGACACCACATTAACCCATCTCATCAGGCTGTGGAGCATGGATATGTTTTATTGCAAAAAGGTGTCCTGTGAGAAGTCCAGAATGTTTGTCTGCATGAAGGTCTTTAAATCTAAGACATATCAGAGAGCACTAAGAAAGCTCCATCTCATTACCCTTCAGTATGGGGCAAGAACATAAAGATGTCATACGTGCAATTTAAGCACTACTCCCTGCTTGTGTTAGGATTGCTTTGTGAATCTTCAGACAATTTAGACTTTGCTTCTGAATTATGAAACTGTTATCAACTTAAATTCTCGTTGGTGTAAAATGGAAGAATAACATCCTGTTTTCAAAAATCCCTGAAGTAATGCTTTATTGTGGTTGTAATACATCTTTTCTCAGGGCTAAACTGGACAGTCTTGTGGGCACATGGAATTGAGGTATACCCCAGTACAGACCCTATTTTAATTTGTCCTTGAAAATGGGGCACTGTGCTACTTGGAACACATGATTGCTGTGATACAGCTGTCGGGGAGCACACCAAGCCATGGGCTCTGCTCTGTGGTGTCTGTTCTGCCCAGAGGAACATTGCTGGTTCCGTGTTTCCTCTACACTGGCCAGGGCACACCATGGTGGTTGGCATTGCAGAAGGTGGCAACAACACCATCCCTGTTCCTCCTGCCTCAGCCACGCTCCTTACATTGCACACTGGCCTCTCCTGGGAGTTTTGTGGTTTTCTCCAACATATTTGCTGAAACTTGTCCCTCCAGTCCTACATCTGTATTCAATCTGTAAAGAGTCGCCATAAAGAACACCCAAATAAACATCCAAGATTTACTACTAACTGCAGGCACATTTTTTCTTCAGAGCAGCTACAGGAAAATAATAATGTTTTTGACTTTCAAGCAGTGTATGACAGTGAAATGTAATTAATGACCTTACGAAACATTATGCTTTATGACCTTATTAAACATTATGTTTGCTTGTTAACCAGCTCTGCAGTTGGAAATCCGAGAGCTGCCAAAACTAAATGGAAATGTACTAATAGCCAAAAGCTGACTCTAAGTTGTAGGGATCTCATCCTTCATGCTGTGAGCTCTTCATAACGCATCTCTCAGGAGGCCAACGGAAATTTCATATGTTAAAACCTGCAAGACTGGGCTTTATTATAAAAATCTGTCTTGTTTCTAATGAAAAGTATTTTAACTACTCTAGCACAACAGGGAAGCTTCAGGCATCGTCTCTGTGACAAGCAGTTTAAATCTCAACCTCGAATATTTACTGTGAGATTTTTCTAGTTCTGATGCATGAAACAAAGCCCAAAACAAGCCAGTTTGATTTTCAGATCTTATGATGAGCAAAAAAATTATCATATGATAGCTGTTTTCCTCTACTTGTCTTTATTTCTTTCGAGTCCTAAGTCTGTTTTCTCACACAGGTTTACAAGTGCTATGCTTTTCCCAACCTCCTGGTTAATTCCAGGTTAACCCTATTGCAGCTTCAGCCAATTGCATCAGGTTAAACTATAACATATCTAGGAGGAAAGAATTTTTCAAAAACTACAGTGACTGGACACAAGCTTCTCAAAACACACACAACAAAACTTCAAACTACATAAGGGAGGGGATCACAATGTACTAAAATTTGGAATAAACCACAAAGGTATCAATTTGAATTTATTCTGTGTAGACCAATCAAAATATTACTCGGTATTTGGACTAAAGACCTTCAAAATAGTTGTAGGGAAGACTGAGTTAATTGATTTTCCTCTCAGACTTTACTATACCAGTGGCACAAGCACTATGTGCTCCTAAGTTGCTTTCTCCATTATATGTAAAAACAAAGCCATTAAAGCAGTAACATCTAACATTTTTCAGGAAGGCAGATGTGTGAAACTCAGTGCCGGCCTGCTTGAAAGTGGATAATTGTATCATGCTTATTTACCCTCAGGTTTAGTCCAAATAAATTATATTTTCAATTCCTTTCTAAGACTGCTGTAGAGAAAGAAGTGTTAAACAGATGTTTCATTACTTCTGCAGTAAGTATTTTCTTACAGGTCCTATAAAACAATCAGTCTGGATAAAGACAAAAAATAAACCAGTTGCAATGAGCAGAAGATCACTGAATCACAGGCTCAGATGGATGTTTGTCCAAAAATCATTTTTCTCCTCCTGACCAGCAGTTATTCCTCACTGATGTTTGTCTAAGCTGTTTTCAAAGGTAAATAATTTTCTCAGTAATCAATTCTAGTACTTCTGTATTTTAATTACAGGGAAGATTTTCCTAATGTGTGATCTCTCACTGCATTCAAGACACGTGAGTCCCATCTTCTTTGGAGAAACCTTGACATAACTGAAGACTATGAAGCCTCTTTTTCAGTTTACCAAATTAAATTGTTGCAATCTTTCTCCTCTCCCCTCCTCAGCTACATCTCCAATTAGTCTTCATTACCAACTTTTACATCTCACCAAATAGCACAGTTCAAAACCATTTTCTTTTTTTTTTTTTCCCCCAGTGGAAAATACTGACTAGAAATTAAATTAAAGACTTTTTTTTTTTTTTTTCCAGCAGGTAAACCAATGTATTTGCTTTGGAATCTACTAATCTTTATGATTTGAACTGCATTTAGACATGTATTTGCTTTGAAATCTACAAATCTTTATGATTTGAACTGCATTTAGACATGTATTTATGCTTTAGGAACAAAAAAATATTTATTTTGCATATGTGAAAATAATTATTTTTCTCTGGAGACACCGTTTTTAGTTTCATTTTTTAAAGAAAACACTTAGCAACTCCCTCCCATCACTCTCAGGCAAACATCTTCATCCTCCCTCCTCAGGCTTCCCCTCCTGGCACAGTCCCACCAGCACCCTGAGGAGATGTGGTGTCTCTGACGGGCACTGCAAACCCTCTGCTGCATTCACAGGAATCAAAATTGAACTCTGGGCTGGGTTTTGTATGAATTTTCTGCTAGAGCATTCAGTAAATCAGAACCAGTATTTCCAGCCCCATCTCCTCCCCACTTATTCTTGCTCCCACTGTAATTAGCAAGAAAAGACCAAGGTTCCATCCTCCTCAACCTTCCTGTCCAAGAAATCCCTGTATAAAACCCGGACCCCAAATAGGAGAAGCTTTTTCATTGCTCCACTGCTCAATTTCAAATCACATAATGAAATCTACTTTTTTCTAGTGATAGGGCTTCATACTGGCAGCCCAGCAGTCTCACAATGTTTTTCTTGTATTTAATGGGCCTGAATGCCATACACTGCACATACCTTGAACATCATTTTCTAACTTCTTGGCTTCGTTAAGGACCCTGAAGCTTTTCTGAAGAGAGCTCTTGGCACCATCCTTCAGTGACCCTTCAGGACCAGATGTCTGCAGACAAACAAGCAGTGTCATACACACAGGAAAGGCTGAAGTCACAAAAGGTAGATGAAGATGATCTAAGTGAACAGTCAGCTAAATGTTAAGTGAACACCAGTGTGCTCTGATATATCACATTGCTGTTAGATTGGTCTACAAGAGACAAAAAAAGATAAATTTCTGATTAATTTCTTTCCGTTTTTAGGGGAAGGCAGATCTCCTTTGGAATACCACTGATGACTTTAATAAAAAGAGAAAATGATGACAGTGTTACAGAAACAGGTTTGATTCTAGGAACAAAACTTTGTCCAAAAACACCAAATAAACAAAGAAAACGAGATCTCAACTTGAGCATGGGTTTCTCCCCTCCCCCAATACAGAATTTCTCCCTAACAGCAGCAACAGTACCTTTAGAAGCCAGACTGGATCTGGTGATCCAAATTCTAACATTGACAACAGAGAGGCCTTTGTGCTTAAATGCAAGAATAGGAATTGCCAGGACAGTAAAGAAAATGTGATAGAAAAGAAATAGAGTTTAAAAAGAAGGGCAAACTGCAATTAATCTGACAACATTTATAACTAAATAACCATCCTTCATCATATCATGCTACTTAAAGATGTTTCTTTTGAAAAACATCCATCTCTATCTCCAGTGCAGAGATTAATCAATAGTGAAAATGATTTTCCTAAATTAGATTAGTATTTTCAGTTGGTGGGAAACGCTGCAGGTTCTGAGCCACGTCCTGTTCAGTTTCTAAGAGTGAGCTCAGGTCACACATCACACCCAATACAGTTCTTTGAGAATACCCCTGACAGCCAGAAAACATTCTATATTAGTCACGGGTCATGGCCCTGTAACTAGTATGTAATTAAGAAGCAGCTACTTTTCATTTTCCAGGGCAGATACATATACTCAAAAATTAACTACGTGTCAATTAAATGACACAGTTATTATGGCTATTCATTATTTATATAATGAGCAAGCCCAGAGGTGATATTTCACATACTACCAAATCTTTGTAGGTTTTCAATGACACTGTAAAACCCATATATTGGACTTGCCCATTTCTTTTTCTTTTAAAAATCTTAGGGGACGCTTTAGATGCTTGCAAAATTCAGAACCAAGTTTCTTGTAACAGGATATCTCATAAAAATGTTGTCATGTCACAGGGATATAGCTGTTAAAGATTCCTTGCATTCATACGGTATCCTTAAAATCTTTAAAATCTTTAGTAAGTGTGCACTTGGCTTTCCCCATCGACTTGGTGAGTTTAAGGAGTAAGTCCCACACGACTGCCAGATTTCCAAGCTCCCCTGAAATATTAAGCTAAATTCCTTTCAATATCAACAGAAACTATACGTTCAAAAAAAAAAAAAATCAATAAAACTAATTTCTTATAGATTTTCTTTATCATGTAAGACAAGTAGCACTGGTAATACATACAAACCCAGAAAAAAAAAAAAAGACTATCCAATTAAGCAAAAGGTTGCTACTGAAGGAAGATTATTTGGCCAGATTTTGTGGCAGATGCACCTGTCAAATCAGATATTTTTTGATTCCTTTTCCCATCAGCAACAGAACCCAGGGTATGTTCGCTCTGTGGCCATGGACTTCAAAAATAATGACTGTTATTGTTATTAAATGACTAGGCTTGGATGACTGCCTGTTAAAGCAGTTTATGTTTAATACAATGAAGTCGTAAGGCCAGATTTAAAACACAAAATCAAGAAGTTCTTCAAGTCAGGGACAATAATTGGGCACATGCTGACAATTAGTCAGAAACAAATTTCAGTATAAAGTTAATACTAGAAAAGTCCCTTCAGAGACAAATCCACTTGTACCGATTAAAAGCTTTATTTTATCTTTATTTTAAAATAATTCTAAAAGGGAGAATTAACCAAGACATCTGATGCAAAATGTACTTTTTTTTGCTAGTTTTTCTTGTGGCTCAAGAGACAATGAGTTATGATGAAGCCAATAATGAAAAAGCCACACATTTTCTGCCTTTGTGCGTGGTGAGTTTGTGTGCTTGTGGCAAGCCTGGGTCACGATGATTTAATGATTTATTTTTGATTTAATGATTTATTTATGATTTAATAAGGCTGACAGTCAAAGGTCTTTGATATTATTTTCTAAATTGGGACACCTGCTGTAAAAAATGGGAAAAAAAAAAAAGTAAGAAAAGATTATTATTCAAGATAAATTGGAAAATCTCAGGGTCTCATTTGTTCTGATTTTTTCTGTCTTTTCCAGAGGGTCCATAACCTGAGGATGGTCCCTTCCTTCACACCCCCTGCCCTCCCCACGCAGACTCTGTGCAGCAGAAGTGGGGTCTCGTTATGGATCTAATCAATGCAATCTCTGTCCTAGCTTAGAGGCCTAAGTGCTGTTAGAATAATATAGTATTGAAATGCTGCCACTGAAACTACGCATCGGCCTGATGGTCAGGTTTTTACCTATCCATGGGTTAGCAAAAAAATTTAATGAAGTTTGACGGCAAAAGGAAAACATCTATCGAATGACAGAAAGAACTCAATGTATTGATAATTAGCAGATAATTCTAGGTAAGAAAGAATTTAGGAAGAATACCCCCTCTGTCTTCCTTTTTCTGGTATTTCAACGCATCTCAAACTCTGTTTTTGTGAGACAGCTGCTGTGGGAGTGGCAGAAAGATTCCAGTTCAGCCTGGTGGGTTATGGCTCTCTTCTGGGATAAGGAAATCTCTCTGGATCTCCCAAGGGTGAGTGTGTGAATCACTCACTTATCACATTAACAGGGAAATGTGCCACACGCTGAAAATTTGAATGACATCAGCCACAGACACAGCATTCTGTGAAGTTCCCCTTGACAGCACATGCTGACCACATATCAGACAGAGAATTGCTGGGGACTTTGCAGAAAGGGATTTATTCTGAGGTTTCACGAATGGATGTAGGCACCAAACATGAAGTAGGCACCATATTGCCCAAATCTGCTGACAATGTTGGTGATTCTGGTCACAGGTGAGGTACAGCTCCCAGCGTGGATGTAAATGCACGGGGGCAGTTTTGAGGATCACATACTTGAACTTACGTGCAAGGTATTTTATAGACCCAAGTGCTAATTCACATCAGTAAGAAACAGTTCTGCCGTATTCTTAAATTAAATTATTTTCTTTTCACGTACACTTATACCCTTTGAAGTTCTCACCTACACAAGAGTTAGAGCTATTCTCATTTTTACCAGCCCTGAAGACAGATGAGTATTTTGAAGTATAAAACTGTTATGAGAGATTTGCACTGCAGGACATCCTCAGGAGGAGGAGAACTTGGTCACTTTATGCCATTCCAACATAAGGAACCTTGGACACCCAACATAACTGTCAGAGTACCACCACAAAAAAGCAAAGAAGGAATTAGGATCCTGAACACCAACATGACCCCTGTGGTTCCAGTTACAAGCCTGCAAGCCCTCTCTAAAAAGCCTAAGAATAATTACACTTTTTCAAGATGTATTGTAAAACTCTGATTCTGATCTGTGAGACACAACTTGGATCTGTTAATACGACTCCTCTCTCCAGTCAGTCACTGCCTTGGCTAAGTATTGGGATATTGAAGCTGCTCGAATGCTAGAGATTTCTCATCTGTGATAAATTTATTTTGCTTTTAAAGGGGAGAGCAAATCCATCATAAAAAGCTCAGGAGGGATTTTCCTGTCATGTTTTTAATACATTTTTTTTCCAGTCATTTATCAGGCTCCCTGTAATCACGATGGATTTTAAGCATCTTTTAGTTCTTGCTTTTAGCAACAGCAGCTTAATTTGAAAACAAAGTAATTTTCCCATTACAAACCAAAATATAAAAGAACACTGGTATATCATTAAGGTTCTTGTAAATTATTGGCTCCAGTGACGGAGCACCCACAACTGCTCTCAAAAAGAGAACGTGGGCTCCATCTTTCAAACGGAGGGCAAAACCACAATCTCTCTCTTCTACACCAAAGAGCACCTTCTCAGGAAGGAGAGGACAGAGGTTTTAGGGGCTTCTCAGCCTGAGGGAGGGCAAATCCCCAAGTGCTGCCTTTGGGAGAGGGCTTGAACCATGGAGCTCCAGCCAGCCCCGAGGGAGGGTGAGCTCCCCCTCTCACGCTGAAGCCCAGCTAAAAGTAAGCTCTTTGGGATCTGATTTACCTGGTGAGCAGTTCAGCTCTTCCCTGAGGATGAGTAAACACTCAACAGTCTTTACATTAGAAAAAAGAAAAAAAAAAAAAAGGCAAAATGATGACAACTTCACAATTAACATATTTATTAAATATGGGGGAACAGATTAAATTAAATCTGGGGAATGGATTTAGATTGGAGATGAGGAGAGGGTTCTTCACTGTGAGGGTGGTGGAGCACTGGAACAGGTTGCCCAGGGAGGTGGTTGAGGCCCCATCCCTGGAGATATTCAAGGAGAGGCTCGACGAGGCCCTGGGCAACCTGGTCTAGTTGGGGGTGTCCCTGCTGACTGCGGGGAGGTCGGACTAGATGGCCTTTGGAGGTCCCTTCTGGCCTGGGAAATTCTATGATTCTATGATTCTATAAATCTGGCTCCAAATCCTCATTTAACAAATAATGGTTAAATTCTCCCTTGCTCTGCAGCAATTTGGTTACCTCTACTCTGTATCAAGCCAGGTACATTTAAAAGACAGCAGCTCCCTGCATTTTGTTCTCTATCAATTAGATCCCTGTTACTCATATACAGCTTGTAACAAAAAACAAGCTCCCTTTAATGAAGACATGCAATGGAGATGCTTCAAATCTCACCTTAATAATATCTTAGTCTCTTTTCTTGCTACTCACCCTTATTTACATCACGTTGTACATCTTTGTCTCCATCCCTTTCAAATTATCTAACCACTTTCTCTCTGTGGTACAATCAGCCTGTTCACCATCTGAGATCTACTCCTTTGTAGCCACACGTGTAATTGCTTGCTTTGTTTCTCAACTGCTGTATCTATCTTTTTTTCCTATTCAATCCTGAAACAGCTGCCTGCCTCACTCGCTGCGAGGCAAAGGAGCGAAAGGCAGATATCTGTACGAAATCCTGATGAGAAGGAAAAACATCCCCAGCTCCTTATTTACTCCTGCAGTCTCATTAGGAGTCATGGTGAAAAAAATAACTATTTACAGAGAACTAACACATACTAATCCCTGAGACAAATTTTTTTCATCATGAGAGAAATACAGTAATTAATGTTATTTGAAATAGAAGTTGACAATGTAAACAGCCTAAGAATATTAGAATTTTTGTGCAGTGGCTAGAACATTTTATTCATCTCCTAAATGCAGAGCTTTAGAGCCTGTGATTGCTCTTGCTGTTCTCCCAATGCCTTTGACTGAAGCAGCTCTCCGCAGGCCACCTTTATCCATGTATGAGTGCTGTAACTACAAGTCGCTTCTCTTCATCTGTATGTTTCTGTACCAACTATAAGGTCTGGCAATTTCCTATTATACTGTCATTTCCTCATGTTTCTGTGTGCCTGTAAAGCGCACGCCTGTTGCTCTCTGACCGACTTCCACAAATTAGCCATTAACTCCTTTGATATTTGACATAAAAAGTAATCCTGGCTACGTTCCGAACATTTTATGCTCGCAGTATATGCATTAAGGAGGCAAGTTCCTTATCATGACCCAGGCTGGAGAGCTGGCTCTACCTTACAATCCTATTTTTAAAAGCTCTCTCCGTTTCCTCTGAAAATTTGCATGCAGTACCTCACGGTAAGAGTAAGATTTCTCTGTGAAATACAGCAAAGTTTGCAAAAGAAGCTGTACAGGTTCTATGAATAAAACTTTCTGCTCCTCTCCTACAATTGCCCATTTCTAGAACTCTGCCAGGTGGATGCAGATCATCCTATGTGCAGAGAGGTGCTTCTGAGCACGTGGAACTAGAGGGTGCAGAGTTAATTAAAGTACAGAGCTCTTTAGATGTGCGCAAAATATTCATTAAATATAAACTAGCTGTATTGAGCATCAAATGACCTGCACTCCTGCCTCAAAGCTTTCCTGCAGCAGCTGGTGGCTTGAGCCGCAGAGAGAGACTGGAAGGTAGAAGAAAGAGGGAGGAATAATAGTAAAAAAAACAGGAAAAAAAAAAGGGAACAAGATTTAGGAGCAAATGGGGATGTTGTTTGAAGGCACAAGGAGCTCTGATGGGGCAGAGCTTTCTGATCTCAACACAAGAATCAATGGTGGCAGGGTCTCTAAATAAAGCCATAAGATGGCAAAACCTGGTGTAGCACCATTCCACAGAACATCTAAGCCCTCTTCCCAATTTACTTATTTTTCTTACCGCTTGCATTGCTTCGTTTGCGAGAGCCTTGGCTTCCTTGGCAACTTTTTCAGCTTCATCTGTGTTATCTTTGATGTTAGTGTAAGCATTGAAAGCAAGCGTGGCATTGAAAGAGATGTTTTTGGCTTCAGCAAGGATTCTGTTGGGATGGAAAAAGCAAACACACCATTAAACCTGCTATCAGAGCTCAACAGAACACACTGTCCTATTTTTTCAAACCCAACAGCCTATATTTCTACGGCATTTCTTTAGAGAGCAATGCTACACTTGAGATTTCAGGAGTTCTGGCACCATCTTTTTAATGGAATTAATATTAAAAAAATTATAATTTTTATATATCAGTATCTGTGCAAAAAGACATTAAAGACCAATGTTCACTAAAAGAGGAGGTTCTGTGAGATAAAAGTGAATGAGACACTGAAAAAAGATAGTGTAGTGCTTAGCACTATAATCCAGATGACATATATTCATAATGTGGGTTTATAGGTTGTGTGTTGAACCAGGAAACTCAACGAATTTTGCGCTGTATGAACACGGGGGGGATGATCACAGGCATGTTTTAAAGGAAAATCTATGAACAACTAATTTCTCAGTCTCGCTGCCACACACAGAAATGCCAGGTTTGGAGAAGATCTCACTGTCAAAACCAAATCCTAAATGTTAATTTTGCTGACCAAAATGAAAAACATAACAATGCTTCGTACTGAATGGGGTGTTCCGTTTATATCATAAAATCATAGAATCGTCTAGGTTGGAAGAGACCCTTGGGATCATCGAGTCCAACCATCTACCCTACTCTACAAAGTCCTCCCCTACACCATGTCCCTCAGCACTGCATCTAAACGGCCCTTAAACACATCCAGGGATGGTGACTCCACCCCCTCCCTGGGCAGCCTGTTCCAATGCCCGACCACTCCTTCTGTGAAAAATTCCTTCCTAATGTTCAATCTAAACCCACCCTGTTGGAGCTTGAAGCCGTTCCCTCTCATTCTGTCACTAATTACCTGTGAGAAGAGACCAGCACCAACCTCTCTACAGTGTCCTTTCACGAAGTTGTAGAGAGTGATGAGGTCTCCCCTCAGCCTCCTCTTCCTCATACTAAACAGTCCCAACTCCCTCAGCCGCTCCTCATACCATTTGTTTTCCAGCCCCCTCACCAGCTTCGTTGCCCTCCTCTGTACTCGCTTCAGAAACACTCCATTCAAATAACTATAACTAGATTTAAAAAGGAATTATAAACAAATAATATTTCCTGCCACGGGGACCAGACCGGAGCTCAGCTAACTGCTTTTTAGGGAAATTTCTAGCCAGCAGGTTGAGGAAATCACTTTTCTTACACTCTCTGTGTATGATATATTGAGATAATTTCTACAGAGAAGTACTGCATCTACTGCATTACCTTGAAGACATCTCTCTCAGAACACGCTACGCCTGATATCTATGATGTTTTTTCTGAATAAAGGGTAAATGGGCTGAAACCCCTGCTTGAACTGGACAAGAAGGAATTTGAACTTGGATTTTTGCCCCTCTGGGAAGTGTTCTACCCATCAAGGTACACGGCAGTGTGAGGGAGGCAGGGATTACCCCCTCTGGACCTGTTCCAGCTCGTATAAAACACTTAGTCATTGAGACAGTGTTCGTGGAGGAAAGAGAAATTCATTCTCTAACCTAGTAATTAACCTATTCTCTGAGGACCGCTGGGCTCCAGTCCTCACTCCAATTATTATTTAATGATTTCTGTGACATGCAACAGGAAAGACAAAGGGGACAGGGGGTTTATTCCCCGGACTCCAGGCGTAGTTAACAGAGGGACAGAGATTCCCTTCAGGCTGCTGGGGAAACAGCACGACTGAGTCACTTCTGCATCACTCCTGGAAAGAGTAACTCCATCCCAGCTACAGATGGAGCTCACCAGGATATAGTAACTTCTTGTGATGCTCTGCTAGAGAAACACCCAGCCCAGAACAGCTCTCTCGTACCTCATGTACTGCTTAGAAATATAGCTCAATTCCCTTCTGCTTAGGAGGGAACTGAACTCAATTTGCCTAATTCCAATGACATTTACTCATCAGCAGGTGATTATCCATAAGGGAGAAGCCTATATAGAGAAGGAGGTCCTTGAATACAGGAAAAATATCAACTTTTTTCCAGGTTGAATTAACGAACTGTTCCATGTTCTAGCTCTCAAGAGAACATCCTCACCATCAGTCAATACACTATTTGAAGCCTTAAGGGGTGACTGGAGAGAAAGGGCTCTCCCTCAATTTCTTCTGTAAGATAAAATGGTTCTTTTCAGCAAATTTAGCATTAACCGAAAGAAACCCAAGTGCTAGTTGTGAAGATAGATACATCTTTGAATTTCTTCTAAGAGAGACTGCATATTCCTGTAAAGTATGCACATATGTACCACAAAACTGACAGGTGCTAATCAGACACTGCACATACCATTTACTAAAGTCCCATTTTCCTAGAAATAGTGCCCTTCAAATCTTTTTCACTTAGGAAAGCACAGCTACCATTATTTTATGTACTCTTCAAAGCATAAATTAGGCTGACTATCGAGTAATGTGACTACACTGTACATGAAGCCAGCAATTTTACAAGTATCAGACACTTTATCAGACATAATTCTGTGCCTTTTCCTCAAAACTACAGATGCTGGCAAGAAAAAATGTGTTAAGCATCTGCTCACTAGTCTTTAGTATATAAAAGTTTTCAGGTACATCTAAAAGATGCAAGCAGCAAAAAAGGAGCATATTGTTGTTTTAAAAAAATAATATATATTTTTTTTATTCATGCAGTACTTTTGAGAAAATAAAACTCAGAAGTTATGCTGGGGACAAGTCCAAGAGGCAGAACACCCATGATCTATTTGTGAGTATTACTGCTGCAAATTACACTTAGTATTTATGGCTTGCTTTCTTAAATGCCAAAATTACAATAAAACAAAAGATACCCCAAAAGACACCCTAAAGACACCTAAACCAAACCAAAACAAACAAAACACTGCCTTACTTTCTATTCTTTCAAGGAACTATATTCCTGATGAATCATAATATTTCTGAACGGGCTGTGGTCATATAAACCAAGGTCACTGCAATTCTCACTTGTATTTAGGAATGTGACTGGTAAAGAGAAACTGAAGTTTCTGAACTCAGGCTTAAGCATTTTGGCCCATGACACCTACTCATTTTGGGAGAGTGTTTTGAAACCACTAAAGGGATTATTATCCCTCATTACGGGGCATTTTTGACAGTAAACATATTAACATCATGATAAGGGTCTCCTATCAAAATGGTCATCTTCAAAATGAAAATACCACTTGTTTTTAACAAATATTTGTGAAAACACATAGTGGGCTCTGTAAGAGAAAGTTTGATTATTTTTTTTTTACAACATCATAGCAGTAAGCATATGGTAAATTAAACTGTGTTAAGAGTGCACCTACAAATTAACCAACTGGATAGCTGTACACTCATATAGAGCACGGGTTATTTGTATGCTCCTGGTGACAGATGTTGATTTCTAAGGAGAATTCTCTTCCCTTCTGTCAAGTAATTTTGCAAACCTGCTTCAGGCTGTTATGTTTCCCGGCGCGGGGCTGCCTTACCCGTCCAGGATGGCAGATGACTCGTTCAGCTGGGCTGCGTGGTCCTCAGCCTGCAGCACCTTTTCTGCAAGCATCCTGTCACGGATTTCTTGGGTTAAATCGTCTATTTTATCTTTCAGCTGATCAGACATTGGCTGTATCTTATCTGCAACGTCTTCTACATACTGAAAATGACAAAAGAAAGGCCTTTAAGCAGGTGAGAGCAAACATTTTGGATCCTTTATATCGAGAGAGACATAGAATTGCCAAGGTTGGAAGGGACCTTTAAGATCATCGAGTCCAACCATCAACCCAACACTGACAAAACCAAAAAAGCACATCACTAACCCATGTCTCCAAGCACTATGTTAACTCAGCTTTTAATACCTCCAGGGATGGTGCGTCAACCACTCCCCTGGGCAGCCCATTCCAAGGCTTCATAACCCTTTCAGTGGAAAAATGTTTCCTAATCTCCAATCTGAACCTCCCCTGGTGCAACTTGGGGCCGTTTCCTCTTGTCCCATGGCCTGTTCCTTGGGAGAAGAGACCGCCCCCCCCTGGCTACACCCTCCTTTCAGGGAGGTGGAGAGAGCCAGAAGGTCTCCCCTCAGCCTCCTTTTCTCCAGGCTGAACCCCCCCAGCTCCCTCAGCCGCTCCTCATAAGACTTGTGCTCCAGACCCCTCACCAGCTCCGTTGCCCTTCTCTGGACCTGCTCCAGGAGAACTATATATGTTTTTCTTGTGAGGTATTTTCTCACCACTTCAGGAAACTAATATGGAAAGGATAAAGGAATGGCTGGACCGGAGAGCAGAGGGGAGACAAAACAATATCCCAAGAGCTACTGGCCTCTCTTGAGCTTAGCAGAGCTTTCTATTTTACAATTAAGGAACTTCACAGTTTAAAGGCTTATAAAGTCTAATTTGGATCTCTTTCCTAAATGTAGATGTACACAGAGTTACACTAACAATAACTAACCAATGACAGAAGTTTCCTGTTCAAGGACCCTTTGAGTGACTTCAGTGTATTTTCGCTTGTTAAACTATCTTAGTAAGATCTATACTTATTGAAGACCTGCCATTCCTGCTCCAATAAACCATCTCAAAGTGTTTCCCATTTCTCTAAAAGGCATTTTTCCATTCATTATCACAATTTTCGATGCCAGGTGGAAATATTTCCAGAACCAAAGATATTTCAAGATTTTATTTTTTGTTTTGTAGCTAAGGCACTGGTCTCAAACTCTGTTGATAAAACTTTTAAGGCAGAATTTTCAAAAACATTATATAAAGTGAGAGTGCAATCCTCTCCCTGATTTATCTAGACTTAAAATTGTTGCCACAGGCAACAAATTATTTCTGGAGTTTCCTTCTGACATGCACATACAGTTTTTGTGCAGATAAATCTACATCTAGAGCAGAGAGTCGGGGTAAGATTGTGAATGGTTGCTGCACCTGCAATTCTAAAGATGAAGCGTGTACCGCAATCACACCACCATATTTATAAAAACATCACAGAATGATATGGGGTTGGAAGGGACCTCTGGAGATCATCTCCTCCAACCTCCCTGGCAGAGCAGGTTCACCCAGAGCAGGTTGCACAGGAATGTGTCTGGGCGGCTTTGGAATGTCTCCAGAGACAGAGACTCCACCACCTCTCTGGGCAGCCTCTTCCAGGGCTCTGCCACCCTCACAGGAAAGAAGTTCCTCCTCATGTTTAGGTGGAACTTCCTTTGTTCAGGTTTCTGCCTGTTGCCTTTTGTCCTGTCACTGGGCACCACTGAAAAGAGACTGGCCCCATCCTCCTGACACCCACCCTTTCAGTATTTATAGGTGTTGATCAGATCCCCCCTCAGCCTTCTCTTCTGCAGACTAAAAAAGCTCAAGTCCCTCCGCCTTTCCTCATTAGAGAGATGCTCCAGGCCCCTCATTTTCCTTTGCTTCCATAATGATGCTTCATTGTACGAATTCTCAGATAAGGATATAAAACACTCACCTCTACAGACAAGCCGATTTCATTTGCAAGTTTGTTGGCGGCATTAAGGATATCATTCCCTTCCTGCAGGCTCTTCTCAACATCCTGCCTGCCATCCTCTACAGCTTGCTTCTTTTTCTGTAGGATAGGTTCACACAGAGAGAAATATGAGTTGTTTGCTAGCATGCAAATGGCAGTTCAGATACCAGCATCCCAAAACAAAACTGGATTTTGTCACAGTGTCCCAAAGCCACTGGAATTCTTTGAGCTTCTAGACTAAAGACAGTGACAACAATAAAACACACATAATATATGTTTCCCTTCTCCTCCTGTCCCCAGCTTTGTATCCCTAATGATGCTTCATTGTACGAATTCTCAGATAAGGATATAAAACACTCACCTCTACGGCCAAGCTGATTTCATTTGCAAGTTTGTTGGCGGCATTAAGGATATCATTCCCTTCCTGCAGGCTCTTCTCAACATCCTGCCTGCCATCCTCTACAGCTTGCTTCTTTTTCTGTAGGATAGGTTCACACAGAGAGAAATATGAGTTGTTTGCTAGCATGCGAATGGCAGTTCAGATACCAGCATCCCAAAACAAAACTGGATTTTGTCACCGTGTCCCAATGCCACTGGAATTCTTTGAGCTTCTAGACTAAAGACAGTGACAACAATAAAACACACATAATATATGTTTCCCTTCTCCTCCTGTCCCCAGCTTTGTATCCCCCTCCCACATGGTGAGGTTTTTGTTGCTCTATAAGAGGTAACTGGCTGTAGCACTATTGCAAAATTAATCAGAAAGATGTTCGAAATCCTAATCTTTACCCAGATGTACAAGTTCCTCATTTTGACAATAACCTTCTCTGGGTCTGAAGGCAATTTTTTTTCAAAATATTCCTCTGCTTTCCCTCCAGTGACAACAATAAAACACACACAATATACTTTTTCCTTCTCCTCCTGTCCCCAGCTTTGTATCCCCCTCCCACATGGTGAGGTTTTTGTTGCTCTATAAGAGGTAACTGGCTGTAGCACTATTGCAAAATTAATCAGAAAGATGTTCGAAATCCTAATCTTTACCCAGATGTACAAGTTCCTCATTTTGACAATAACCTTCTCTGGGTCTGAAGGCAATTTTTTTTCAAAATATTCCTCTGCTTTCCCTATTGGCATCCCCTGGTGTTCCACTAACCACTGAATGGTGCTGGCTAATCACTGAATGTAAAATATAAGACAATGGTTTGAAGCAACCTTAGGATTCCTGATCTTCCAACTAGTAAAAATACTGCATATTGTGTTGTAAGGATGGACTTCTGAATAAGGAATTGGCAATTTCCTGTGCAAGATCCACAAAGTATCACAGATTAATTTGACAGGACGCCATGGCATTCTGGTGGTGAGTGCTGTGATGGCTTCTTGGTCAAAACAGGGTCAAAATAGAGCAAAAAAACCATCCTCAAAACAACCAGCTGGACAGGTGGAAAGGATGCCTTCAGGCACCCTGATACTGTGATGCAGAGAATATTTTAAAATCTGAGATAGCAGCTAATTTCTCCAACCTTTACCCATCCACCTTTGGGAAGAAAACGCACAGAACAGAGATGACCCAACTTCTTTATGGAGCTGTCTTTCCTTAATTCAATCAAGCCCACAAATCTCTGCTGAGAACTGAGGTCTCGGAACTCTAACCTCATCATTGTACATGAGGCAAAAGCTCAGCAAGATACAAACAGAGTTGAAGCATTTATCTTCATTAGGTTGACTCTGCTCTTTATGTCTTGGTTAAATGCTTGTTAATGTACAGTATTATACGCTCTCTACTTCACTGCAATTTAAATTAAATCACAAGCAGACCCCTCTGCTACGAGGGAGGTCATTTATAACAGCTTCTAACTACAGAGGATAGAGTTTGATTTATTACCCTGTAATATCCACATACCCCCTTCAGTCTTCTTCCCAGGGGTTGGAGAGGGAGATGAAAGGGTAAGATTTCTAGAAGCAAATATATGACAGCCAAGATTTTAACTGAACTCCTATTTAAATCTTGAGCAGAGGATTTGAATTTTACATGACTGTTTATGCTGGGATGAATTTAATCTCCCCCAGAATAATAAATCCAATGTACCATCCACTCAGTGTTTAAAATCAGATATTATTCCAATAAAGCCATGGAATAATTCTGCATTGGCTTTTAAATGTATTTCCTCATTCTGAGTAAAGTATTTCCTTCTAATTACATAAGATATAGTTTTATTTTAATATTTTTTTGTTTTGCTTATATTTTTGTTTCAAGATTTAATAATGCAAAGTTTTGAACTTTGATGAGGCTCCAAGTAATCAAGGACACAACTTGTGAGCACTCACCTCTACCGTGGTCATATTTTTTTGGTTGACGGCAGATAAACGATTTGCCTCCCTAATTTTACTTGTAGCTCCTCTCAGCAGCTGTCGAGCATCATCAACTTTGGTGTGGTAGTTTGCCAGCTTGTCCCGGACTTCATTTTTGAGATCCTCATTTTTCTCACTGGGCTCACCAAATAATTTCTTCACCTTGTCCAAAAGGTCTTCTGCATTCCTGCAAGACATCACCGCCCATGAAGGCACCGAGTTCATATTCCCTGCACCGAATAATCTGAATTTCTTAATAACATGGAAACGCAATAGACTTCTAAATTACATCTCAAAGTAACTTTCAAGAGAACACATGCTTAATAAAGTGAAGTGATATTTGTTCTTAAGCCCTTTCTTAAAGAAGTTTTTAAATGCCAGTATGGTCCCATTTATAAAGTAGGAAATATTTAAATATTCTCTATTGAAGATTGTTTTGCCTTTTTTTTTTTTTTGGTAAATTGCCATTCTTGAGCTCTGACTAGTAAAGTGAGGTTTGACAAATGTTTCAGAAAAAATAAATTTGTCATTTTCTGAAATCTTTGTCAAAAAGATTTCCCTTCATTCACATTAATGACACATGACACAAGTTTCCCCTTGAACCGAGGGGGGGATGTAGACACGCCTGATTTCAAGCTCTCTTGGAGCAGACAAACTGCTTTAGACAGTCAAAAAACATAACTACTTTCCTGTGAAATAAACAACCCTCAGGATCCTTGGATTTATGACTTCCAGCAGCCAAAGAATTTTGCTTATCTCAAATAAATTCTGGGGTATTTTTAATGGACTTTGGCAACAGAGAAACAGAAAGCTCCCAACTGCCTGCTTTTGGCAGGGGATATAATATCTCTTGGTCATCAGAGAGTTGCTGCATCCAGTTTTAAAGGGCTGGAGTCTTTATGCCCCGTTATTTCTTTGCCTCATGACACCAGGCTGTTGAACCAGCTTCATGTAACGCAACCCCACTGTGTTAACACAATGATACAACAAGGACAGCAAAAATAAAAGACAACAAAAAAAGGAGGCACTTCCAAAATGATGCTGTAGAGATAAAGAAAAATCCTAAGTAAACAGGAATCTGTGGGATAGATACAGAAGAAACCTATCACGCTTCCACCTAGAACAGATTAAGTTTTAATTCCTGTCTCATCGTGGCAATGGGTCTGGAGAAGCTGTGGGGAAAACCATATTTTCTGAAAAATGCTGCAGTTTGGCCTACCTATTAGAAATGGCCAGTTCCATTAGAAACCTTCTAAAAATAAACACATACTTTGGCCTACCTATAGCCAGTCCCATTAGAAACCTTCTAAAAATAAACACATAAATAAATGTACACACAAAAAGTATCTGAGAGGTGGAAAAAATATGCTGCCACTGGGCATAATTTAGATGAAAGATCTGAAAGATCCTGGAGCCAAGGGAAGCCAAATTGTTACCTCTGGCATTTTTTGAGATGGATTTTATTTTCCCCCCAATCTGCCCTACGTTTGGTTTTGATAAAGAAGATTATTCACCTTGTAAATTAATTTGCAACTACTGTGGACAAAATGTTTAATCAAAAATTAAATCCCGGTATTGACACTCTGTCACAGAAGAAGTGTAGAAAGGAATTAAGATTTTTTTTCCCCATTCTTTGCTCTTTGAATATGCAGCAACTCTCCTACATTTCTGGCAACTGTTGACCCTCTTTATGACTCCCCAGCACTGAAGGACCAGTGCAAGATGGATGGATTTCCTTTTTCTGCCTTTGCCTCATAGCACAGTCCAAATTACCCATCCCCATTCTTTGTTCTTTGCATATGCAGCAACTCTCCTACACTTCTGGCAACTGTTGACCCTCTTTATGACTCCCCAGCACTGAAGGACCAGTGCAAGATGGATGGATTTCCTTTTTCTGCCTTTGCCTCATAGCACAGTCCAAATTACCCATCTGTCCAGTGGTTTGCCTCAGATCTCCTTCCTAGTGCTCTAACAATAACACTTCCATATCCACCTGTTCTGCATTTTTCCCTCTGCTCTTTCTAAAAAAGTACAAGGTGATAAATCTGCTTCATATAATCCTTTGCTTTAGGTACCAGAGTTTCTGTGTGACTGGACTCGACCACATTTCTTGAAATACTGTCTTGCACTTTTAAGCTGTGTTACTTTCACTGGATGCCCTCCTAGAAAAAGAACAAAATTCTACAAAATGCTTGAAGTGTTAGAAGAAACAGTCACAGGTCTGGCATAACACCTGGAATGCTCTATGGCCTGATTCCTCAAAATGAGTACAAGGGAACAAGATAAAGATTAGAAATTGATGAAAAAAGCGCTAAAAAATAAACTGTATATATATGAGAGTCTAAATATGTTAGAATTGTCCTATCTACAGACGAAATGAGGACAATAACATCATAAGTGGCATGGATAAGGTGATCAACTGTCCAATGTCTCTCCAAATACAAAAATTAAAATATCAGGAAGCAGTGTCAGAAGACAGGAGGTGTCTCTCCAAACCCTGTGAGGATCATTTTTGTAATTCATTCTCACAGGGAACTGGGTGACTGGAGTTCACACTTGCTCAAAAGCCAGCAGAGAAATTTATGGAAGAAAAGGTTATACAAAAATAAAACTATTCAGGATATTAAACAGAAAGATAGAACTCTGGCTCTCAGCATCCCTTGATAGCAACTCAGTGGCATCCAAGAAAATGTTAGCAATGTTAAGAAATATTGAAAGATTTATTTCATAAGTATGAAAATCAGGGTGGTTTTTGACAGAAATTGGTGTATTTTTAACATGCTATTTTTAGAGATAAATTATTGACTAATGTGCCATTCCAGTACAGTAAGGCAATCAGATTACAGACTGGATTTGAAAGTTTGAAGGAAAATAAATGAGGGGAAAAGCTGCAAATATAAGAAGTTTGCCGCCTATGAAAGAAAGAAGACTTTACTTCATTTGTCTTCTTCTTTTAACTTTTGAGAATCCAGTGAAAACAAAGGAGAGATAAGAAGAATCCACTGATTCTTGTCATTCTGTTCTTGGACAAAATCCTGAAAGCAGAATAGAATCACTGCCAAAAGACCTCTTACCAAAGAGTAAACATGATTAACTACTTCATAGTAATCACAAGACTTGAAGAGCTATCCTAAAGTAACATTTTCTAAATGGGTCTGTAAGAATATTCATCCTGTATATATTCATTCTGTAATACATGTGACATATATACGGGACAAACTTTGAAGATAGATGATGTTTTTATTAGACCAATTAATTTTCCAGAAACTGCCCCCCAGCTTCTGAGACAAGCTTTGTAGGACAAAAGCCATTCATCAGGTCTGAAGCAGAAGCTAAAAACAAACTGAGAAAAATTGCTTAGAATTCGATTAGAAATGTTGTTGGTACCTGGGAAGCAGAGAAGTAATTTCCTAGGGATTGCTTTCCACATACCTAAGCATTTCCAAAAATGCAAATGCTATATTAACAGATATGAAATATTTGGCTTTGTTTTCTGTCACATTTCTGTAAGCCCCAGCTTGAAAACTTGATTTGGAAAGATGACAATCACATTTGTAGGAGTTAGATATTATCACTGGGAGGTTGAAGACTGAGGTTACTCTACTCACTTTAACTCATCTTGAGCTATTCTCTCTTGCATATTCAGGTCTCTGTTCCTCAACTCCACGATCATTCTCTCAGCCTCACTCTGCAGCTCAGGAAGACTCTTCTCCCAGGTCTCGTCTTGGGTTCTGAGGGTCTCGTTCAGTTTTATGGCATCTTCCTTTGCAGCTGCAGGGGGGCAAAGAAGATTTGTGTAGGACGTTAGTAAATAAAAACAACAGAGAGGCTTTAAGCATCTGCCCATCAACCCTATCAGCAAGTGGAATGCAACTTGTACTGGTTGTTCCTGTTGTGAAATATAAAGGATGGTTAATCCAATGATCAGTAACAAATGAGAACGTTATATGTTTCCTCAATCCTCTTATTATATCTCACTTCTAAGCACAGTAATTGAAGTGAAGAAGTCTTAATATCCAGTATAAGAAATATATTGCTCCTCTCCTCCTCTTCCTGAAAGAAAGAATTTGTACTGACCCTTTGAAACAGCAGATAATCTGGTACATTGCTCATAGAATTAAGCCGCAGGTAGTACAAGCAATGAAAATTAGATTTAAATCACTTTTGGAGAACTTCAAAATATGCAATTTTTAGTATTCAGACTTAACAGTGCTAGGGAGAATAAATGACTGGGAGATTTCAGAGGAGAAGCAGAGAGAAGATGAATGAAAGACACCCATGGATTTCTAAGCCTGCTCATGTGGTTTAGAAGCAGAAATGCAATAGAAGTATTCAATATTCAAGTAAATCTTTAATTGAAGAAAATAAATTCTGTCTTCCAAAATTCAAATAAATGTCTATTTCATCTACACGTTGTGTAGATGAGCAAATTATGAAGAAAATTCTAATCCAATGATGTCTTTGATTTGTTGGTGAGAACTGAAATTTGGATGTTTAATCAAGGGTGGTTATATGTGGGGTCGTGAGGACCGGAAAAAGACTACATTTCACTTAAATAGATCATGGATCGCTTATGCTATGTATCATTACTAAGTGACCTTGGGCGAGGAATAGGCATATATTAATATCTTTTTTTTTAAAGTCTGGAATAAATAAATAGTAATTTAACCTCCCTGAATATTTACCTTAAAACAGAAAATGGATATGTTATCTCAGCTTTTACTAGGTTCAGAAAAAATTATACCTAGCTTTATCTTTCTCCTCCATCCTCCTCATACTAATCTTTATTTTCTAGTCTTATTATATGGCAAACAACCAGAGTTCAGTGGTAAAAGATTTGAATCCACTGACATAGACAAATATAAAGAAGTGTAAAACTGGCAGAATTCCATAGTTAAGAGCGGCAAACAACCAGAGTTCAGTGGTGGTAAAAGATTTGGATCCACTGACATAGACAAATATAAGGAACTGTAAAACTGGCAGAATTCCATAGTTAAGAGGGAAAACTAGATACAGATACTCAGAAGGTTCAGAAGAAATGGATCAATGGCCAGAGAAATAGGTCCTTTCACGGTATTTCATCCTAAAGTTGTTGCCTACTGGCGACAAATACTAGAGAGCCACAGGAACAGTCCTGCATTCCTTGAGATCCAAAGGACTACAACTTTCAGCGATCTGTAATCTGGGGATGGGGTCAAGGAATGTGGTATTTCATGTTAAAGTTGTTGCCTACTGACAATAAATACTAGAGTCACAGGAACAGTCCTGCATTCCTAGGGATCCAAAGGACTACAACTTTCAGTTATCTGTAATCTGGGGATGGGGTCAAGGAATGGTCACAAAGAATACATGCAAACTAGTTGGTCATCTCCATCAGAATGTCATGAGTGGACATAAAGTCTTTAAGGAAGAATCTAGCAACGTCTCATAGGTCAAAAAGAGCAGAGACAGAGAAGATATAGGGCCAATATGCAGTTAAAATGCCTTCATATTTTAAAAAAGTCTAGGAATGGCACCAACTTAAGGAGAAAGTTTATCCTCAGTTTTTGAAAGATGGTGACCTTGAGCAGGAAGACAGCTGAGGATGGCAATCAGAAGTAGGAATATAGAAATTATCACAACCAGAGGAAGCATAGTTTGAAGAACTTCAAGCTGGAACGGCCACAGAACTGTCATTCTAGAAAGATCTGGTGCATGACATAGCAAATCCAGGAAGATGATCGTTTGAGAACAAGCAAATGTAGTGTTTGACCGTTTTGAAGAAAGGGGAATTCCATTAAGGCCTGAGAACTTGCTTTGGAAGTAAGTGGAAAACAGGTTGTGGAATAAATTATATGTGGTTTTAATTTTTCTTTCCTAAGGTAGCACACGTCAGACTACATGGTTTAATAGCAAGTTCAGTTGAATATTTTTACTAATGATCTGGGGTGGGGAGGAAGGAACTCTACTGAGAAAATGTGTTTATCAGGAAAGGTTGTCAGACAGTCTTAAATACAGAAGGATCGGAATGATATGCAGAAAGAACCAGGTGACCTTCAAAACTAGAAGCAATTGGAGTGGAATGAGATTATAAGGTTGTGAACTAAATAACAACAGAAATTTCAGCTGTAAACTATGGGTTTGCCAGTTAGATATAAGGTATGAATGAGAAGAGAAGCTATATTTCAGATCTCCAATGGCACCCAGCCCTGATAAAAAGCAAATGCTATGCCAGGATGGATCAGGAGAGTTGACGTGGGCAGGTTTTGCTGCTGCTGAAGTGCAAGACACTGAAGCAACCTCATTTCAACACTTGTTGCCTGTGCTCAGGAAAGGGGAACCTAATTCTGAACAGAGAAAAGGAAATTATTTGAAGGTGAGCAGGGGATGTGGGACACCAAGCTTTAAGGTTTTTTACTCCAGAAAAAAAGGGGAATAGGATTCCTCTCAATGAACATAGTTGGGGGTGGGGGAAGGAGGAGAAGCACGGGGGAGAGGAAAAACACTATTTGAACTGAAGAACAAGGATAGCAAAAGAAGACAAGATGATAAACTAAACATGAATATTTTTAGCTAGAAATGGGAAGGTTTGTAGTTATGCAGAGTTCTGAAACTGCCTTCTATTCAGATGTGTATTTGTGGGAACTTCTCTGAAGCTGAGGCTTAGAAAGTTTATGATAGCAGGGGAGTGAATGCAGCAACTCAGGAGGTATCCTCCAGTTCTGTGCTCCTATGTTTCATCTCTTCTTAAAATGATAACTTGGCCACTAGGCAAACACATTGATTTTAAAGTCTTTGTCTACTTCTAAGATACCACTTACATTTTTTTTCGCCCCGTCAGTGTCTTCTAACTCAGTACTTCCTATTGCTAAACCTGCTCAAGGAAACTTTTTTTGGGGTTACAAACACCAGGCATAAACTTTGTAGAGAAAAAAAATTGGTTTAGCTCTTGTCATCCCAAATTCATCTTGATAAATGAAGAATCTGGTCTTTTGTTTAAAAAAATTTCTTGAAAAATTGCTTACTTTTTCTTGTTGCTTTTCCCACATTTATTTCCTGTCAAAGTTGTACATCCTAAAGATATTCTAAATTGCTGTTCAGTTCAGCTCCAGGGCACGTACTGGGATGTGTTACATGAAAAGCAATATAAAATGTATTTTATAGCACTTGGACAAAAGTGGAAGCTTTTCCTTTCAATGGAATGGACCTTCAGAAACATAGCTACTGAAATCCGTAGTGTAGTGGGAAGTTTTGAGGAAGAAAGAACAGATCAGTATTTTTCAAGTAGAAAACCTGCCTGTGATTGCCAATCATCTTCATATTTTTCAGCCATTATCTTATTTAATCGCATCATGTATTACATAGGTCTTGCTTCTTAAAGGCATCTACAAAAATTTTGCTCCTAAGCCTTTACTGCATTTCTAAGTGGAGGAGAGAGAGAGTAGGCTCCGTGCCACTACACAGGTAGGGTTAAGAGTCACTGGCAAATTCCAAGCAGCAGATGTTCGTTAACAGCAAGCAGTAATGTATTTTTGAAGTCATTTGGGGAAATTAGGATGAAGTGTTAATATACCAAGTGCTAAAATGACATCAAACTTTTTTACCAATATTGCTTTGAAAATAAACAAATGCTAAGCCCTTGTAGTTATGTCATAATCTATTATATCATAATAGCTTTTCTTCAAATAACTGCAAAATCTTGAAGACACATACTCAATATTCTGCTAGTTTATATAAACTACATTTGTAGACTGCAAAAAGTCTGGATACTTGACCATAGTTTCTTCACTTGACATTTAAACACTTCTGAATGAATAAACTCTTCCTCGCTGTCCCTCAGACCCTCTTCCCCACCATCCTTCAGTTTTCTTGAGAAACAATTGGCATTATTTTCCCCTCTTTGATACCTTCAGCAGCTTGGAGAATGCCTTTGACGGACTGTCCAAGAGATTTGGCTCTGTCATGAGTCCTCTCAGCATCCTGCCTGGTTTGCTCACCATCTGCTGTCACCTTGGTCGCCTGGTGATCCAAATTCAGGAAAAAAGTAATTAATAAACAGGACAAGGCTGCACGGTGCCATATTCCTACTGGCTGAGTCCATGTACAAAACTTTCCTCGGGCAAAAGGCAATCAATGACTTATTGATCAGAGGCATAGGAAATGGCACGCTCCCTTCAAGTACACAATTAGATGTTATTACCTTTTCCTTTAAATGGAAATTGGAAGGCTTTACTTTAGGTTCTAAGAAACCCTCCTTGTGCGCAGCAGCACACAAAGGGAGACAGGATGAAATTATTTACTGGATTTGCTTAAAGAAATGTTGTTTGGAACCTTTTAATAGATTCTTCAGGGAATACTTTCCACAGTTTCACAATCGCGCACTTCTCAATTGACAAAGTGCAGCAGATATCGTGACCTCTTTGCTTCCTCCCCAGAGGTGCTCTCAAAGAGACAGCTCATGCCAACAAACAAGAAGAATTTTAAATCAATGTATTAATTAAACCGAGAAAGACTGGGGAAAAAAAAAAAAAAGAGAGTTGTTTTTTTCAACTCTAATGGTGGAAGTTGTTTGTTTATGACATATTGGGGTGCTCAGTAGAATTTTAAGTTTGTAACTAAATGTTATGTTAACTAATATATTAACTAATATTAACTAACATATATAACTAATATATTAACTAATGTTATGGAATCAGTGCAACAGGATGAAGACAGACGCCTGCTGTGGACCTGAAAAAGGTGCTAAGGAGAGGAGTCATCTGAAGACATTCTGCTTAGATCTTATGGTCCCC